GCCTCGAGCTACTCTTACGCTTCTTTCGTGCTTAGCAACCTCCCGCGTGCATCCATAACTTAATAGTGTACGCTGTGGTGTTTACCATTTGTTAATTAGTGTTATAAATATCAAGTGATACATCGAACAAAATATTTCAGAAATTTTTGTAAGCTAATAATGCTTCCCCACGTGGAGCAGGAGGTTTTTATGGGAAGTTTCCAGTCAATATTTTATCCATGTAAGTCTGCATGCATGAAACATGTATACTTGACGACTCCCCTTGAGAGGATTTTGAGGGCCACTGCAATTTCATTGGAAACAAATATTGTAAATAAACAAAGTGTTTTTAAAAATCCCAACTGGCAGGAGATAAACCAGTTGGCTATTCATTTAAGAACTGCAATAAAAGTGTTAAAATCGAGACACCCGAGAAAAAATCCAGTAAGTAGCATGGTGGAGGACTTGAACCTGGAACCAACAGATTACAAGCCCAGTCCCCTAACCACACATTGCTTTCTTCATGTGTCTGTAACATAATAATAAATAGTAATAATAAAGGTCTTTATTCTTATTCTTCATTAAGAATTATTATGCAAACAGACGTGCAACAATTAACATGACAATAACATGAAGAAGGGAATAAATTAGTTACTATTGAAAAGACATCTATTATTAAAAACTGATTTAAAACGACTTGTCTGAATCTTAGGTAGAATATAATTATGCGACCTAGTTTTCAGCTGCCGTGTTCTTTCACTCTCAAGATCTCGATCATTTGCATTAATCATTTCCCTGACTACTTGCCATAAAATTCTTATGATGTTCCTTTGGAGACTTTCTACTATTGGATCGACTAATAATTCTTTAATTCATTTGATTTTTTCTTCAGTCTTATCACTTTTTCGCTCGATATTGTTTTGATTTTTTAAGGTAAAATTCTGTCTTGGTTAATCATGGGAGCCAAGTACATGTAAGGGTTAAATGTATCATGAAAAATGCGCAATTCTCATTGTTCGCTCATTTTCCATGCATGTCATTATCAATATTGTTTTCTTCTTGCTTCCATAAAGGCTGCTTCAATGAGTGGGGTTCCTATTGTCTAAGATGGAAGGGGATGTGTCATTATGATTCCGTGAACAAGGGGTGCAAAAAGTTTTGTGACAATTGTTGACCAGAGGTAAATAAACGCTTTCACGGCTAAGATCTCATAAGTAATGCTTCTTACTGTCTTTCGCACAATTCATATAATTTTAGTTCAAAGAATTTGGTATAAGAGCAACTAATTACCATATCAATTTTTTCTTTATTCTCATCATTTTTGTGCTTGATGTTGTATTGATATTATAAGGAGAAATTCTGTTGGGCACTTGTTAACAATTGGTTTAAGGTTTATCGTACACTATCGATTTATGGAGCACCTGGGAAGTTTGGATAGCACGAAAGAAGCGTAAGATTTGCCTGAGGCCGAATGACCGAGGGCAACGCTAGCTTCTTTCGTGCTATCCAAACTTCCCACGTGCTCCATAATTCGATAGTGCGGAGCTAAAAGCGCGAACCAATTGTTTTATAACATAGCCGGTGGAATTGTGCATCAAATCCGACGCGAAAAACGGACAACAATATCAGAAGTGATTGTTCGCGGTAAGCGAAATATTAAGCAAAATAGGAATTGGTTTTATTTTAAATTTTCTGTTGAAAGCTCGAGTTTTATTTTCCTGCAGTTTAAATACAAAATTCAGTATTTTACTGTCATTTGTTCGGTTTTACCAGAGTGTCTTTCTGTCAAAATTTGTTGCATTTCACCCTCGGATAGTAAAGCGAATCATGACGGCGCTGATACCGAGTCTCCTTTACCGTTCTTTTTCTTTTTTTCTGCCTCATTTGAGAACTCTAGTCCATGGGAAAAGGTCGGAAAATTGTCTTCGTTTTGGGACTGGTGGGCCGAGTCTCTGTTTGTATCCATTATTGTCACGAAATATATTATTTTTCCCCGCGCTAACAATGACCGCTCGCGCGAAAAAAATAAATTTCTGGCGAATCGATTTGCTCACGCTATCAGCGTGTACTATCGGGATTTTGAGCACGCTTAGGTATACTGGATTTGATTGCGCGGCTCTACTAGCTATGTTATAGTGGGAGTTGGAAATAATGTTAAAGGCAAACAACAGGTAGAGGGGAGAATATAAACTCAGTCGTAAGGCTCTACAGGGCCGTAGCTAGCACGAGGCAAGACGAGGCAATTGCCTCGTCTTATATTAATTTTGGCCTTTTTAAATTTTTTTCTTAAAAATTGACTTTTTAGAAGAAAAATGCCAAGGAAAATCCTTAAAAGAGCATTTCTAAACCTCTAAATTTCAAAGTTTTCTGGGGGGCATGCTCCCATACCCCTCTGGCAGCTCGCGCCTTCGGCGCTCGAAACTTGCCTCATCTTATCCTGAAATCTGGCTACAGCCCTGTTCTAGTCTACAAGAAATTGGTTTAACGGTTCAGGAAATGTGATGTATGGTCTAAGGTTCGAGTAGGCTACAAAATACGATAAAACGTTGAAATTCATCAAATGTCTGAGATCTTACCGTGCAAATCTTTTATGTTTAATCTCGTTTTCTATTCAAAGTCTTAAACACAGCAGTTTATAATGATGATTGAACTGAGTGGAGTGTAATTTGGTCTGAAATCTTAAATATGATTTCAAACCATAATTGCAAGACACGAAGTTCAATCACCACTTTATCACATCTCTTTTTGAAATCACAAAGTTCAGTCGTTCAAGTACAGGTTTTTCAAGTCTGTGCAACATTTTATTTTGATCCAGTATTGAGCTGGTTTGTAGAACGTTGCATGAGTTGTCTTTGACTTTTTAATATTCCTACAATTTGATTGGTTTCTTTGATAAAAAGCCTGAAATCTGAAACAAGCCGCAAATTGATGATAAACTGTCTTCATAAAATTGAGGCACAACAAAATTTCGCGGGGACGACGCCAGTTGATTTGTTCGTCCTGATTAAATAATTTACCAACCGTTAATATTGATTCAAGGGAGCTGATTTCACTAAGGTGTTCAAAAAAGCTAATTGAACCCTGAGAAAAATCGTGGGCCTGAAAGTCTGAAATAAAACTTCTTACGACGAACGATTCGTGGGCAAAAAAATAGTTGAAAAATGTATTTATCAAAATGTGTGGAAATTGCTAGCCTCCTAACTTTTCGCGTTTTTATGTCACGAGGGTAAGGCTATCTTTTAGTTATAGGGGATAAAAACATGAAAAGAATATTATTCTCAAAACAGCTCATGGAAGAAAGTCCCCATCATTTACAACTTTGCCAAATATTAACCTACTAAAGATGCCTCACAAGGAAAAATGATCTTTATCTGAGAGAAACCTCTTGCAGTATTGAACCTTTCTCGCTCATTATTTTTTTTTCCTTTTTTTCCTTGTTATTCAGAACAATGTGCCTGTCATCAAGCCACAGTTTCAGTAGGTTGGAGAACTCACCAAACCCAGTGCGGTCTGAACATTATAAAGTTAATGGATGTTAATGTAATGACCACAAGTTAAAGGCAAATAAATGGAATAAGCATAAATGTTGCCGTTCTTCATGGACTTAATGGAATTTCCGTGAGCGATTAAATGACTCTCTCCAATTTTCACATCACCTCGCATTTTCATGTTTTACTACTACAAAGAGTGCATGGTCGTAGTATCTCGCTACTATATTTCTTTCGGACTGGCTTAGAAGTTCACCTTTGCTGCACAAGAACCATAAATAAACGGCGAAAGGTAGACGTGAATTCAAATTTCTCTCCTCGAGACAGCTTGGTACAAAACTAGCAAAAATCAAAATCTTTTGTCTAAAGCTAACGTGTTCAATTGGATGAAAGCACAAGGCACGAAGTTTGATTTTGTCGTTTGCCGTTTTCGTTGAACTTTACTCTTAACTTTTTTATCTGGCATATTCTTGAAAAAAAAAAAAGGTTAAATCGATAAACTGCACTCCACTTAACGACACACACCCTTTTTCAACGGCATCGGCTAAAATATCCCGCTCCAACCACCATGCTTTTAATGAAAATAAAAAAAACCACTTAACATTTTTCAAATAAAATTTTCAGGATAAACAAGATGAGGGGATCAGGCAACACTTTTCCAGGTGTAGTCCCATTTATTTCCCAGTTTGTTTCTATCTGGTTGTGTAGTTTATACTGAGTAACCGTTTTCGTTACTTTTTCAAAAGACCTTTCACATCAATATATCAATAGCCAGAGAGAAAAATTAAGAACATATACTTTTGCGAAAAAAGCCAATGAAGAGGAATAGTTATGGTTCCTTTGAGCGCGAATGGTGGGTAACGATGACTTTGTTCTTATAAAATCGCGTCAAGAATCAAACAATTGAAAATGGAACAAGCATAGCTGTCCTTTAGATTAAAGTTTCGATAAGCTGAAATGAAATAAGCCTATAAAGCTATTCGAGTTTGTTAAATTTCCATTTACGGTTTTGTACTTGTATTCAACTGCGTTCATAACCGATCTTTTGTTCACGACCACGCAAAAACCATTGTTTTAAGGGCATTTCGTAATTCTTTCACGTTTTTTAAGAAAGCAAAGACAGAATGTCCGGCCATGTTGAATATTTTTGCAGTTGAACAAATAGCATTTGCATTCAAACAAAATTTAACGATTACAAACAATATAAAATAAAAGGATATTCTTTAAAAAACTTCTCCACCTGAACCATCGATGACACCTGATAGAAAAGCGATTGCTGTCGAGTATACGATACAGCATTTATAAATATAACAATACAAATTGCATTCGAATTGAAATTTAGAAATAAAAGAAAAGAATGATCTTTTCCAAAACGTAGCCGCCACCTGAGTCATGGGATGTTCAAGTAGAATGATTCTTTAGAAATTCAAAAGACGTTCTGTTTGAGAAGGATTTCCAGGTGAGGGGCAGCAAAGTTGACACTGCGGTGCATAAAAAAAAGAATCAGTCTGAGCTTGGTATCAAATTGGAAAACACTTCAGTCAAGATGAATCTCTGGATCGGAGTAACGCTTTTGTTCCTTTCAACTTCAAATTCTCAAGGTAAGAATTATTGATGTTTTTACTTTGCATCTATCTGAGTTTGCTGGGCTGATTAACAACACATCTCACCAGTATGTTCATGAGTGAAAATCATTTTGACTCTAGTCAGTCATCTTCTGTGTTTTAGAGTGCTTATTAATACCCGAGGGATTAGGTATCTAATATCATAGGTGACAAATTACTCCTTAATTTTGGCGCGAAATTTCAGCGTGAATTTTTAATTTCATACGTGAAATTACAAAATTGCCTTGGTAACATCTCTTGTATCTCGATCAGAGCCAAGATGGCATCGAGATTTAAGACGGTGACCCTTGAAAGATTTGACAGTTGCCTTAATTTTAAAACATTATCAACAGGCACGAAGAATTCGAAAGGTATTTTTTGTGAAGAAACTCAGAAAATTACGAACTTTAACAATAATGTATGCTTTAAATGAAAACTATATTCTTCTTCATGTTTTCGGTTTTCGATAGAAAAACCAGTAAAAGCAATTACGGTTGTGAACGTAATTTGTCACCCACGATATTAAAAGGTAACCAAATGGTTTTCTTCTGAAATTAGGAAATAATTTCAATTGCGTTTTATCAAAATTCTGATAATTTCCCTCGCCTAAAGGCTCGGGAAATTATCAGAATTTTGACAAAACGCAAGTGAAATTATGTCCTAATTTCACTCGTCGCTAATTGATTACACATACTAACTCTGGTTATCCTTGCTCCTTGGCCAACTTAAACAACTAAAAGTCGTCTAAATGTTTTTGTGTTTTGCAGGTTGTGGAAACAAACCATTTTCGGCTAGAGTCGTTAATGGGGAAAATGCTTCTCCACACGCATGGCCCTGGCAGATTTCTCTCAGAGTAAATGGACGCCACATTTGTGGCGGATCTCTTATCGACAAAGACTGGGTAGTCACTGCCGCCCATTGTGTGAATAGAAACCCGCGCCCAAGTGGATACACTGTAGTCGTGGGTAAGTCGTTGAAATACAAAGAAAGGAAAAAAAAAAACAAATAAGCATGCAAAAACAAAAGAACGGTAAAAAAAAGGAGAAATTACACGCGTTGCTAATACTCTGTTTCCCACATTTTCAAAAGTAACAAACTTGGGTCATTCTGAAACTCCGTAACAGGAGAAAATCCTTTAAGATCTGCGAAAAATAGAGGATTAGAGAGAGAAAGATAAAACAGTAGTTGTAAAAGAGTTTTTCAATCACAATCACTGGTGCCACCATCCCCATTTCTTTTTGTTTTCAATCTCTCAGTTTAAACAGGGCTTGCTTACAATCTGTTAAAACCTTTTTATTTTGCAACAATGTCGTCTTTAGGAGCTCATCGTCGAACCGGATCAACAGCAGTGCAGCAGACCTTTCGTTTGAAACAATTGTTTAAACATGAAGGATTCAGTATGAGAAATCTGAGAAATGACGTTGCACTTCTTCAGCTTGAAAGGCCTATATCAGCCAGTTCCAGAGTCAACACGGTGTGTCTACCACGCTCTGGGAGTAGGATTCCAGCAAGAACACGATGCTATATTACTGGTAACTAGAATTCGTTTGAACGGATTGAACACAATTATTCCTAGACCAGATCTCTTACCTTCGTTTTACTGTGGGCCGTATTTATCAGCTTGTTTCCTTAGTAGGAGAGCGTTTCTACATGTGATGGTAGGGATTCCTCATGAAGAGCTGGTTGACTGCATTACCTTCTTGGTCTTCTCCTTTATAGATTTCTCACTTCGATTTAAGATATCTTTTTGAAATTGGTATTTTCAAGTCTTGGATTTCAATTCTCTGAGTTATTGTTTGCACAGAAATTTTGAGCACCTTTGAAAAATAGTTTGTTTTTGAACCTCAAATTCAAATGAGCGAGGCGTAGATTTTCTTTTTGTTTGGTGTTGCAGCATACCTCTTCTTCCAATTAAAATTATGAGAACTTTTCTATTTTGAGAGAAAATCTCTCAAAAAGTTCTCTTTCAAGCACTCGCTTTCCAAATGGGTCAAATGAAACTAAAACCATTGAACTTTTTATGAAGGAAATCAATATGGAAAGATGGCATCCTCGATTCGAATACAGGCCAGAAATAGCCTTTATTACAAATTATATGCCTCATCGAGAATAGCACATCGAATGGTTGCCATTAGAATACAAATGATTTAAGACTAACAGAATTAAATTCCCCCAACTTGACCTTGTTTCAAGATGTTGTATAAGGGAGCTCCTCAAAGTGGAGCGATTGGGTTACACGGCTGACGATATTTGTCAAAACCGTGTTGAGTGAGTCTGGATTTTAAAAACAATATACAACTGGATCTAAGGGAAATGGCTACAAATGAAAATAACGCCGTAAACGTTTCCAAGCCGACGGGCGGTCTTTACCGCAAATTCATGATATTCAAAATGCGGCGAAAATCACGTTAGGGAAAAGGTTCCGAAAATCGACAGCATCACAATCCCTTTCTCGATAGTTAATGAAACTTGACTGACAATTTTATCAATGCTTCATTTGTCGCTATTCAATTGCTGTTATGCTGCTTTTGCTGAGGCATCGATTTTTTTTTTGAGATGTATGAGCATCGAATACTATTAAATTGAATACGTTATGAAAATTGAATAAACGCGTAATTTTTGCGTTTTTAGGCTGGGGAAGAACAATTGGAGGTGGAAATGCGGCGGACACACTCCAGCAGGCTATGCTGCCAGTGGCCTCACACAGTGAATGCAGCAGAATCAATGGACGACTGGGTCCTGTCGATGAGAGATCAATGATATGTGCTGGAGGCCAAGGAAAAGGAGGATGCCAGGTAATTGAAAAACGCATTGATCTTTATAATTTAGTAACACCGAGCACCCCAACATTAAAACTGTGGCCGAGCACAATTTTGACACAAACGAATGGCCTTTTTACCTCACACGATCGAAAGTGACTGGAAGCAAGCCTGTTAACTCTCGCTTTCATTGAGTTTTATTAGAAATTCATCGCATTGATTATGAAATGTCATTATGTCCCCTGATGATATCCATTTTATCATTATATCTGTTGCTGCAACATTGCATAGGGTGACAGTGGCGGACCTTTTGTTTGCAATGAGGGTGGACGTTGGACATTAAGAGGTGCTGTGAGCTGGGGTCACTCACTGTGTAGGACAGATCACTTCACGGTGTTCGCTCGTATAAGCAGCTTCATTAACTGGATTAACCAAAAGAAGACAGGTAAACTTTCGTAACGTCTTGGAGTCCAGTCCAGAAGAATGCTAAATGATCAGTAAGAAATGTCAAGAAATTACAAACGAAGGAATTATCGATCTCTTCTGAAGATATCATACAGAGCGTGATAAACGTCAGCTCGGAACGAGTTTTAAAGCATTCAAAGTCACGTAATTTTGAGTAATTGTTGCATTTTAAAGGATGATAATTATGATAGTGACGATGATGACTTTAATTATAGTGATAGTAATGATAATCGTGACATTAATTATAGCAAATGCAAGTAGTACTACTAAGTATTGTTTGGTAAGGGAAGTGGGATTTGTGATGGAAGAATGCTAAATAGTATCCAAACATACTTTCTACATAAACATAACGACATTCATATTAATAATATCAAAGTATGCCCGCCTATATTAGCATCATGAACGAGACTTTTTGTTACGTCACAAAACTTGCTAGGACTAAGAGAAGGCCACCCAGTTTTCATTTTCTTATCTTTACCTGTTATCTAGTATTTTGGCGACAATATTATTGCAGTATTTCATGAGGTGTTACGGGAATTGAAGGCGACACTAACAGAACCATCCCCTCTTTTATTTTCTTCAAGGTGGAGGTGGAGGCGGAGGAAGTAAGTACTACATCATAAAACATCAAGAGAACAATTAGACAAAGGGTGGGATGTTTTTTTTTTTTTCTGGTCGTGGCCTCGAGATATGTTAATTTCAAGAAAGTACCTATAGATAGCTTGTTAAATGGATGCATGTTTCTCGGAACGTTCGCAGTAATGATAACACGACTTGTTCTTTCGAGTTAAATGAATGCGTGGACACTTGTGTGCTGACGAAGACGCTTTCGAAAGACAAGGGGAGTAGTAGCTTACATTACTTAATGGAAGCAAACTTCCGTTTTCTTCCTCTAACTTGATTGAAATGGCCATAGGCGACGCCCTGATTAACTTCTCTGTTCATTTAAGGTTAATGTCAACAAAATAGGGTGGCTTCCGGAAAAATCGTCCTGCGCTCGCACCTTTCATAGAAAACATAAAAACCATATAGCACTAGAAAGCTTATAAAGTAGTAATTATGAAAATAACAAAATGTTTCCGAGTTTTTGTCTTGATAGTCGCGCGCGAGCCTTTAAACACAAACTGACGGTGGTTACTTTATTGCATTACCAGCCTTCGCGTTACCGTGGACCTCCGGAGAAAATATTTTTTGAAGTTGGACAATAGAAAATATTACGGTTGTTTACACGCTCCGAGCGTCACGAGAGGAATAATTCGAATTTCTTAAAAGCCTCACATCCTTTAGTGCGTTAATATCTGACAAACACTCTGGCCAATTTTCATGAATATCTAACAGACAAATCTATATACCCAATCAACTCGTTTAAAGTATAGATAGCTCGCGTAAAAACAAATACATTATCAATATTATTACTATCACTATTACCATTCTTATTCTTAATATCATTATTCCTACCATTATAATCACTGTTATAATTATTATCATTCATTTTACTGAACCAAAATGTGCTAAATTAACCGGATCATTCACCTCAGTGAAGGTGATTAGTACTTACATGCTCATCTTTTCCCGAATCAGCCTATCAGCCAGCAGACATGAAAATCACTACTGAGCTGTGTGATATGTTCTAATTCATATAACTGCTGTCACTAGGTTGTCGCGATATGGACCGAAGATGTCGGAGTTGGACTCAGTACTGCGGGTCTAATCGGTTTGTGAGGGCTAATTGCAAGAAGACATGCAGACTCTGCTAAATTCAGGTACCCACCAAAGTTTTTCTGTTGAAATTTATCCTCACTTAGTCTAGTTCGCAACTCGCAAGCCTCTCGTCGACCTTGGAAAAATCAAGCAAGGAAAGCTATTAAAAACATCAAAAGAACACTTCAATTCTCATCTATGAGAAGAAGAACTACCATCACAAGAATTATCGGGTAGTCACACGTTTAGCATAATCTCAGTGTTTACTTTCATCGGAAGTGGATTTGTCAAATACTTTTATCTAGAGGTGAACAATCATTTGAGTTTATATTTTGAAGTAACTAAAGCACTCACATAATTCGTAATATCTATGTACGTTTCTTTTCATTTCACAGCCACCAAAAACCGCAAGGTTCGAAGTGACCGGACTTAAAGGCAAAGCTCTCACTCATGCATTTGACAATGAGCAAATTAAAGCATTTTAAACAACAACATGCGTAGCACCCAATATATGATTAAATAACTTAAAAACTAAAAGGGACAAGTAACGTAGTCTGTTCCTCAGAAAATTTTGAGTGTCTATATTCAAAGTGGGGTCATTAAGACATTTAGAACCAATGAGGGGGCAGAACTCAAAATGTCAACATCATGTTCACATACAGCCAATCACATGTCGATCGCGTGGGGACAATGAAATCTCAAGTTTGACCCTTGAACCCGAAAGAGTGAAAAGTATCGTATTACCTCATAATAATATACATTAAAAAAATTCTCAGTTGTGATTAGTAAAGATGAATGCAGTTTTCAGTTAATCCAGTGCAGAAGAGAGTTAATTCAGTGCAGAAAAGGGTTAATTCAGTGCAAAAAAAGAAACAAACCAGACATTCTGATTGGTCAGAATGATTGGTCAATGTCAAGGTCAATGTCAAGGTCAATGTCAAGGTCAATGTCAAGATCAATGTCAAGATCAATGTCAAGGTCATTGTCAAGGTCAATGTAACTTGCAGGGTTTGAATAAATTATTTTTGCTCGTGATGCGCGCGCTTTTCTTCTGCGTAGTTATGAGAAGCTACCTCGTATTTTTTCATGTATATTATTAATAGATAATCACATGATTTTCTCATGCAATTTGGAATAAATAAGCACTTGTAAAGTTTTCAAAGACCACAAATTGCACTCGCCCTACGGGCTCATGCAATTTTGTTTGTCTTTGAAATAATTTACTCGTGCTTATTTATTCCAAATTGCACTCGAAATCATGTGATTACCTATACAAATGTCACCCCTAAATTGAATATTAAGGCCATGAGAATGGTGGACTCAAGAAGCTCTTGATTGTTAGCCAGATTCTTGTTGTCTGCACCTTAGGGAGGGAATATGGAAAACCTGCATATTGTTGTTCATCCGGGTGTAAAAACTGTTGGTCGTTTAGTAGTTTCGTTTCCGCTGTCAGTTACTACTGGGTCGAAAGTTAGAAAAAGCTGGTTGGAAAATAAGAGTTAGCAAAACCCTCTCAAGAGAAACTGTCACCTACAAATTCTTAAGACGTATCAAAAAAATAAGTCCCTCAAATTTTCATTTCTTCGGATGACCCCGGTGCATTTTGGGGCTGCTAAAATGGTTTCAGTCGTTCTTGATCGATACCATCACCTTCCTTCGCGCGTTCTCTTTAACTGATGGTACCAAAACAACGCCCAGTCATGCCATAAAATGCTTCTATCGTTTTTCTTTTTTCGTAGTTAAAGGGTTAAAATAACAACACTGCAAGCCCCAAGAAAGAACATTAAATTTGCAAGTTTCTTTATCTCAAACAAAACTTTCAGCGAAAATTAGGTAGAAATCAGGTAAAATTTGATAATCGAAAATCACTTTTTTATATAAAAGAGAAATTATTTCTTCACTCTAGTTTTATCAGGTCTGGTTTTAAAAACAAATGTAATCAGAGTCCCTTGATTTAAAGCTGTATCATTCTGTTTTGCTCGCTTCGCGAAAATTTTTATTCATGCACACGTAACATTCTGAACGGAAACAAATAAAGCTAAATTACTTGAATTAAACTTGGTGTATATTCAATTAAACCACTTCGTTAATTCTTAAATAACCTTTTGAAAAACTTTCTTCAATATAGCATTTTCCTGATCCATTTTTATGAGCGATTAACTGGATACCCTCTCCCATAGTTAACCTTTGATTTCAATTCGAAGTTCATTCAAAGCAATTCAGTATGAACACCTTAAATGAAATAAAAATTTCGAACGAAAAGCCAGACCTTTGTTAAAGAAACGAAAAAGACAATGATAAAAAATAGGACATACAAGCCTTTTGAAAAACTGGACGGTAGAAATCAACCTTGTTTAATTTAGATAGCAAAAGTGTCAGCGTGGTGTCAGACTTTGCTGCCATGAAATAAGACCGATAAACCCGTATGAAATTTGGAAAGGCGAAATTATGGTATTTATTGAAACATTTCTACAATGTATCTACCGTTTGCGACTTCAGTACTCGTTATTTGTATTTTGACTCGCCCTACGGGCTCGTCAAAATACGGCACAACTCATAAAAATACTCCGCGATACTACACAACAAAACGTCTAATAAGTTATTTATTATCCAACACGCCAAACCGTGTTATTTCAGTGCGGGCGAATTTCACGGATATTTATTTACAGGGAGTCCGTGACAGAAGTATGCGAAGCGGAATGGAATTGGCGCGTTGTTGTGTTGCTGTTTCTATTTTCTTCATTAAATGAAGAAATTTTCTGGTCGTCAAGCTGTTTTTCTTCGTTCGATTCATTTAATGAACTTGGATCTATATATGCCAGCCATTCTGACTTTTTGTCGTCGGAAATATGATTCAAATTGTCCGCCACTTTTTTTTCGTAACTACAATCCAATTCTTCGCTTGCGCGATGCGAGAAAACCTGTTTAACCGGTACTACAATAGACGAGTGCAAATACTGCGTGATATTTGTACTCGTCTATGGCGTTATTTGTACTCGTCTATGGCGTTATTTGTACTCGTCTAGGTGTAGTTGGATAATAATGGTGAATATTCCCCTCGACTTTGTCTCGGGGAATATTCACCAATATTAACTTCGCCTTCTGCGAATAATTGTTAAATATTACATACATACATACATACAAACATGCATTCATACCTACATGAACTTTATCTAAGTGTCAGTTAGTATTTAGCTCTAAACTAGGAGCTAATTGGGGACACTCAATTAAAAGCTAAACATTCAAAAGTTAAATAAAATTTTAAATTTTAAATTCGTAAAACGAATCTTCGTTGATTCATCCTTAACTATGAGGTGGTATTGGTGAAAAGTGCAGTTACTAGTCCGATGAAGGTATTCTTTGCATTAAAAATTGGTATAGTTTACGCCCGCCGGCCTGGCGAGCTTCTTCGTGCACTGTCTATACAAGGTCGTTGTATTCTTCATTTTAATGTATTTGGCTACTTCTCAACACGTCCACTAGTAAATAAAATCGTTCAGCTTTTCTTACTGCTCCTACTTGGTCGACTCACGTTGTAGAGCGCCAAGCTACCTTGCGGGAGATCCAATATTCGAAAAACTTTGGACCGGACCAATGGTCAGGGTCTTAACTTAGGAAAATTTTTGCTATGCTTCCAGAATTGATAAATATATAGATATATAAACTGTGGATCCCATTGGAACCGAAAAATCGCAGCATATAGATTTTCGTTTTAACATGATTCACTTTAGGGAGACAGTGGTGGACCTTTTGTTTGCGAAGAGAGTCCCGCAGATGGATGTTAAGAGGTGCTGTGAGCTGGGATCACTGGATGTGCAGAACAGAACACTTCACTGTGTTCACTCGTCTGAGCAACTTCATTGAATGGATCAACAACAAGAAATCGATCAGGTAAATCTCATAATCACCGCAAGGAGACAACCACACAAAATCGTAAGCATCCAACAAGGGAAAACCTTGCATCTGAGCTAAATCATGTGTTTTGTAGTTTTAGCATCAGATTAAGGGAGGATAAATTTACCAAAGTCGTGTAAAAAAAAGAGCATTATCCTCCTCGTTCTAACTATCAAACTGTTTAACTATTTGAAAACGCTTTAGTTTATTACGAAGTTAAGTGAGAGTTGAGTTACTTGGTATTAATTTAGATATTCTACCTAACAAAGCAATATTTTTCCTCATATAATCCCATTTATTAAATGTAACATCAATTTACAATTTTACGTGCCTCATAACTGATAATTTGAAATCATAACAACATGACAAATAGACTGGTTTTAAAGTCGTTACTCTAGAGCGATATAACTCATCATAGCTAACACTATCTCTACTGCCCGACTTTTGCTGCTATAATTGTTTCTACCACCACTACAAATAACGAAAATGATCATGATAACAAAGATAATTATAGAGCTCTTTCTGTATTGTCTAGTTAACCAAGCATCGACTTTATCAACTGCCCTATTTTAACATTCATAAACTGTTTATCGGTTGATTGGTGGCACTGACATTGTTATGATTTGTTAAATTCTTTAGGAGCCAGTGGAGGGGGGAACGCCAGTAAGTAACTTTCAAATTATACTGTGTCCATAGGTCAGTAAGATACATGAAATAGAAATCGTACGACAAAAAAACTTTTGTGATTGATTATTAGAGTGTTTTGAGAATTACTACAAGTTGTACTCTACAGGCCTGCAGAATTACTTTATTGGCTACGATTTAATATACACCGTGACACGTTAAAACAAAACATAGTGCTGTGGCGTTTGTGAAAACAAAGTTTAATTAAAGTGGCACACACAAAGTCGTATGCATTATTGGCGGAGCCAGTTAATACGTTAGGAACGAAGAAATATTCTCTTAGAACTTGATTTAGTAAGGGGCATGATGATGCTCGTTTTGTTTTTATTATTCTTCTTCTTATTATATTTATTATCGTCATCACTGTTTTATCATCATTGATTATAACTTTTACTGAATTAAAATCTGATTGACCAACAATCTTTCGCCTCAGTGAAGGTGAATGGCGGTGGATATTTACCAAGCCGCAAAGCTGCGAGTCAAACATCCACCGCTCTCACTAACACTAAGGTGAATATCTGTTTGAGGATACACCAAACAAAAAGAAATAAAATAATTTCATAGCTGTCAACATACCGAAGTATGGTTAGAAGTTAATCTCAACGACCGATTTTGTTTCTTTGGCTTCTTAGAAACGAATGGTACTCGCTAATCACTTCCGAACTAGCCAATCAGGGCGCGCGAAAAGCTCTATTTACCCGTATGGTTTACACTAATTAATGTAATTGTTGTGACCAGGTTGTGTCGATGGGCACCCTTACTATCCGCATTGGACCCCCCGGTATTGCTCATATCATTCGTGGGTACAGGCAAATTGCGAGAAGACACGCAACCTCTGCCAAATTCAGGTATCTCTTTATCAATGAAAACCAATTGTATCTTCGTCGTAATTAATCATTTTCTAAGTCTAGTTCGTAACTCCAAAAATAATAAGAACATCAACAGAATTAGAACACTTCAGTTGTTTTCTATGGAAAGTAATATTATATGAATTTCTCCATCACAAGGAACCCTGTTAAGCATGATCTGATCGTTTATTTTCTTCAAAAGTAGACTTGTTCCCTATGAAAGCTGCAAAAGTATGTAAACGTGGATAAGACAGTATAAAAAAATAGTAGAAGTGCACATTTGCATTGATAAAAGTCAAAGTGTTTTTTTTTTTTCTGAGAGGGACCAATCATTACAGATTGTCGTGTAATTTAATCCAAGGCCGCAATTGATACGTAGTATCTTTGTATTTTTCCCTTCCCTTCGGAGTAAGCAAGAGCAGCAAGATCTAAAGTGAACTCTTACAAGTTCTCACTTACGTATTTGGTAAAGACAAAATTAAAGCAATTTAAACAGCAAACTCCATAGCGTCCAATTCATTGCGATAAAACTGCTTCTAAAGTACGACAGATGAGCAACGTAGCCCGTACCTCAGAACCTCTTTAATGCACGTGCAGAAAATGGTGATCAAGAAAATGAATGTAAACAGAGAGGGGCATTGGGGTCCATTAGAAACCGCAAAACCGTAGAAAAAATCATCCAGAACCCCCAAACCGCCAAAAAAATCGCTCAAAACCGTAAACCGCAAGCAAAACCATTAAAACTGATAAATTTTCACTTGCCAGTTATCAAAACCCTAATCGATCCTATACATTGGTGACAAGTGGAGCATATATAGGTTTTGCGTTCATTCGAGATCAGTGGAGGCGCATAATTGCCGCTCAGATCGAAGAGAAACCGGAACCAAAAAAGGAAAACCGAAAACCACGTCGGATACCAAATCCAAAAACCCGGTCGTGTTTTTAAAGAAAACCGAAAACCAAATGCTAAAAAACGGAAAATCCGCAAACCACAATGAACAGTAAAACCGAAAAACTGAAGTTTTTGACTACAAAAATCGAAAAACCGATCTAAAAAATGGCCAACGGACAAAACCACAAAGCATAAAATTCAACGCCCCCCTCTAAACAAGGTCACCGCCAGCGGCATAAAAACTTTCCTGAATCTTTAAACATTTGCATAATGAGAGGGCGGCAAAGGGGGTCCTGGTCCCGTCTCACGCACGAGTTTTGAAAAAATTCCCGTGCCTTGAATATAAACGAAATAAACTCAAATCTCTCTTCTTGTACACAAGGATTCGGGGAAATCTTGAGGTTTTCACCAAATGAAAGAACAAATTCACGGACCACTTATATTCTGGGAGGCAAATCACGCGTCACACTAGAAACCTCTGTCACCCTAACTAAAGGAATGGAGTAGCGAAGTTTGAAGTTGCCTTGGTTCAGCTCTTTAACTTTAATTCGAAAGATATTTTTTTCTCTTTGGCTGAAAACCTAATTTTTTCATTTTTAGTTGCCTATCTTTCGTTTGCGACTTACAGAACACAGTTGTTTTTCAAGATTCGGGAATGATAGGATGATTCTATGAAGAAATTGTTGAAATAAGCGTTTCTCGATGATCAAACAGTATTTCATAAGACCTCAAAACAAAGGGCTTACGTACTCTTTGCAAAAATGCGCCTAACACCTAAGTCATCCCTGCAAATCGAGTGCTGTTTGTAAGCAAAGTTTTAACTCAACATAACATTTGCCAATAAATGTACATTTGACAATGAGCTAGTTGGGTGAAAGGAAAGAGGCAGATATTTTTGTAAAGAAGAAAAAAAAAAAAAAAACCATCAACAATCAAATTTGAACTACCTTCTACATATAACTTATATTCGTTCCCTCCTTCCAGAATTTTTTCATAAAAAAAACAGACGAAAATCTGTCCCAGGTGTTCTTTACCTTCGGATCATGTAGAAAGACTCGGGTGAATTCATTCAGCCAAATATTTGACTGGCTAGAGCAGCTGCAAACAGTGATTCTGTTACAGATCTGTCAAAATTTAGACAACTAGATGATACGTTAATTATTTGATGGATAGTTTCTGTAATTTGTTTGAAAAGGTTATATCCAGCAAGGCCCTATATTTCTATAGATATGCATTGAAGACATATCTTTAGTTATATAGGAATATTGTATTGGTGTTTATTGGTTTTGAGAAAGGTTTTCGAAAATGCCAAAGTTCAGTTACTGCACATCTATTGCAAAAAATAAAAATTATCGGTCAGAGGCAATGTGGCGTTCTCGGCGGAGGTGACTATAAAGGCTGCCTTGAAAAATATCTGCTCTGGAACTGGGAAAATTATTTGAATAGACAAAAATAATACATCAAATATATTTATGAAACCTTTCCAGCTGCAAATATCATTCCATAGCCGTAACATTTGGGCGAATTGGGTCTGCTAGGTTGTATAAATAAAGTATTCTTTGGTTGGTGACTATGACGTGAAATCAGTACAGGGATTTGTATTACTGTGATTATACAGCTGAGCTTGTTAAGCAATGTTGACTTTTCAGTTGTACCTTTACGTCATGTTTCATACCGAAAAGGGGATTCTTTTGCTCATGCTTTTCTTTTTCCAGCTGAAAAATACTCGCAGACGTCTAAATAATTATTTTACCAGACTGCGCGTGAAAGTTGTATTAAAAAATTGCGCGTGCTGTGTGAGTAGGTTACCCAGATGAGAAGCAACTAACGTTGCATACTGTCTATATAAAAAGAAGTGTCAGCCTCATGCTGTTAACACATTTGGAGATCATTCCTTCAAGATGAATCTCTGGATTGGAGTTGTGCTGTTGCTGCTTGGCGTATCACAGTCCCTAGGTATTTTTTTCTTTGTAAGCTTTGCATGTCTATTTTTTTTCTTACTCTGTTGAAATGATATCCTAGGTTGTCTTGTTAAGATAAAAGACATCACAGCCTTCGGAAGATTGTATAAAATCATCTTACCTAGGCTAGACTTTTTTTCAGTTAACTTCTTCATAGTGATGGATGAATTAAAGAAAAGCCTTTTCGATTATTGGCTTAGATTGCTAGTAAGAGACTTGATTCACAAATCGAATTAATTAAAAATTGAGTGGCAAGAATAATCCAGTAATTGATGATTAAATTTGCGCTATGTGATACAAAAAAAATGCCCTAAAATCTCAGCCAATCAGATCGATAACTGAAAACGAACTGAGACACACTTTCAGGTACCACTCTTCACCGGGTTCTTTGAAACTTTCCTTTGCGTCTGACCAACCTCTATTTGTTGTGATTCGCTCTAACAATGTATATAATTCCTAGAGTTAAGAAAATTGCGTTGATTTGATACGGGGCATCATCCTACCTAAATTTTATATCTTATTTTTTCTCTTTCATGGTGGTAACTCAAACCATTCATAATTTTCCAGGATGCGGGCAAAAACCATTTTCGGCAAGAGTTGTGAATGGTGATAACGCCTCGCCTAATGATTGGCCTTGGCAGATTTCACTCAGAGTGAATGGTCAACATATCTGTGGCGGATCTCTCATTGAAGAGGACTGGGTTGTAACTGCTGCTCATTGTGTGGAAAGAAACCCATCGCCGAGTGGCTACACTGTAGTCGTTCGTACGATTTGAAGACTAGCTCTTCTGTTTGTTTCACGTTAGCTTTTGTCATTGTGATTCATTGAAAATTTGTTGGTATATCAGCTCTTTAAGCAACACTTTTGCCAATTCTAAGTTTTCCTCTTAGCTTTATTAATTTACGCATAAGCATTAATCATTATTCCGTTAAGTCTGTCATTTTTTTTGTTTGTTTGTTTGTTTGTTTTTGCCTTATGCAAGAAAGCTGATAGACTTAAGACGACAAAAAGGCACTTTTATTTTCTCATTATCATCCCTCTTAATCCCTGTCCGGCTGAATCTCTACTAAAAGTAATGCAATGGGTGTTGAGTCACAAACCACCAAAGTAACAAACATTTTTACAAGTTTTCCTTTTTTTCTGCTTTTGTTTGTTGTTGTCGTTGTTGTTGTAATTGTTGCTGTTGTTGTCGTTGTAATTGTTGATGTTGTTTTTTTTTTCGTCTGTTTGTTTGTTCGTTTTTACTTTGGTTTAATTTTTAAAGAAAACGAAAGATAGTCGAAAACAACTTTAGTTTCGGTTTGAAGGAGCTGAAAACTAGCAGTTAGTTCATAACTACAAGTGCCTCCAAAGACAAATCAATAGATGGAACGTGGCTTCAATATTATTAGTTCATAACGAAAATTGAACTCAACTCGCGAAATGACTTTTCTGCCAGGAGCCCACGCGAGGACGGGAACAACCTACGTGCAGCAGACCTTCAGGTTACGACAACTGTTCAAACATGAAGGATTTGACATGGGAAAGCTCCAAAACGACATAGCTCTTCTACAGGTTAATGGGCGAGTGAGACTGAGTGATAAAGTAAATACCGTTTGTATGCCACAAAAAGGAAAAAGAGTGCCAGCGGGATCACGCTGTTATATTACTGGTAACGAAATCGCTATTTTTTTTTTTTCTATGGAAAAATGTGAAATCCCCATCTGACCACGTTCAAGAATGAAGAAATTGTCTTTGACTTGGGTTTTCGCGCGGTGAAATGTAAGGAGGGTTATCATACCGAAGAGTTGCTGCATTGTCATAAAATAACTGAGACACTACAAGCGCTCTGATTGGTCAGAAGCCTATCATTTATTACACCGCCTACACAAAGGTTACTACCACGATAAACTAATTGAAAATGGGGTCTATTGCTTAGTTAAAGCTGACTAGCTACTTGTCTTATGAGCGACCTTTAAAAACTTTTCACATTTTCTACTTCAAGTTGGTATTTTTTTATCCAAATTTTCCAACATAAAAAATCGTTCTATCCTTCACAGCACTATGATGCAAATTTCTCCATCGAGTTTTCTTGAAAAGGTATGGTCACTAAATCCAATTAATAACGTGTGAAGGTTGGGGAAGACTTTTTGGAGGTGGACAAGCCGCTTACACTCTCCAACAGGCTGTGTTGCAGGTCGTCGATCACGGAAGGTGTCAAAGTGTCAATGGCTATATGGTTCCTGTTGATGAAGACTCCATGGTGTGCGCTGAAGGCGAAGGCAAAGGTGGATGCCAGGAAAATGTATCAAGTCAGAATTAATTTAATCATGATTTTGAATCGTGATTATCCTTAGGAAGGTCTTTAAGATTGATTTTTGTCCGGGAAATATCTTAATTTTTTTAGTCTTTTAACAAGAAAAACGTCTTCATTTGCATGCATATTCGACTTTCGACAGAGGTTATGAATCGCAAAGGTGTAACACAAACCCATGTCGTCAATACCCTCACTTCGTTCACATGACTAAATTAAGTTTAGTTGAATTTCATGACTAAAACGTTAAAGGTTTCATTATGATAAGATATTCGCTCGAACTGTAGTGTTACTAGAAACAGTATCATAAATGTTTTTTTTCCACGCCCTGACCAGGGAGACAGTGGCGGGCCATTTGTTTGCAACGAAGGAGGGCGATGGGTTTTGAGAGGTGCTGTGAGCTGGGGTCATGGAAAGTGTAGGACAGATCATTACACTGTCTTTGCTAGTGTCAGCAATTTCGTGGATTGGATCAAACAAAAGCAATCAAGTAAGTTCTCAATATTTTCTTCAAGTATGAAACTGATTACTCACTTTTATTTAGCAGTGACTCGATCCTGTAGCACTAATGAGCTTCTCTGCGATCGACCAATAAGTTTCCTCTGATACAAGGTTGCAATCAGAATTACTAACTTAATCAAACCAGATCAAAAGCAGTTCTTGTCCTTTTTAGAGAAAGACGCTCTTAAATCTCTCACGAAAAACGAATTGTACAATCATCACCCGGGGTGATGATGGTTAGACTGGAGATCAACCCTTAAACCAACATTAAGCGATAAACGATCACTCTGCGGCTTGGCCTGTAACTAAAACCGGAAGTTGAAAAAGTGTCACTCTCCTATTTCTATGTTAGGTGGAGGCGGTGGAAACGGCGGAGGTGGGGGAGGAGGTGAGTCAAAGTCAATTTAATGAGATAAAGCTTAATTAGCTGGCGTAAAACAAAAACCAAAGAAATCACAATAGGCAATGGGATTAAAGAGAATTATTTCAAAGGGATTACGAGGACGTGAAGTGGATGCATCTTAAGCCCTAAAGGGCGGAAATAGTGTGTCATCGAATCCCGATTTATTAAGATTTGCATTTAATTAGTTAGAGTTTGGAGCGAGTGTTCTGAACCAATCACAGTGTAGTTGGGAAAAAACTGCAATATTGATCTTATCCTATAAAAAAAATGTCAAATACTTGTGAAAGAAAAAAAATACTTCGTGGCTGGTATGACACAGCGTTTAGTCTCGGCCAACGCGCTCAATACGCATTCGCAAATCCAAAGATGTTAACAATTTTTTTTGCTTCGATGCCGATGTAAATATCCCTTTACCAAACAGTTAAAATAGTACAGTTAACCCATACTGTATACCTATTTCGCAACTTCATGGTTAGCTTTTAACCATCTAAATGTCCAAAGCAAGATTGCTTATTTTTATCGAAAAGGTTACCTTAAAGGGACGAGTGATATTTCTGAATGACTTCCCAATACTACAGGGAATTAATTCTCACGCAAATGTGTTATTTTGATCTGACAGTCTGCCCAGATAAGCTTCCAAACTGCTCGCTGTATCAGCAGTCGTGCAGATACAGCCAATACATCCAGCGACTGTGCCCTAAGTCGTGTCGCCTTTGTAAGTGGATCAAATAGTAGTTATAGTCGCTTATTTGTCCTGTAACCATTGAGAGAAGCGTATTTAGTATCACGTGACAGCTTGACGTCAATCCCATGGCGTTGCGTGACATTTTAGTTTTTGGGGGATATTGCTTATCCTACGATCTGATTGGTTAAAACCTGTCGTGTGGTACAAAATACGCTTCTTTCACTGGTTACAGTACAGAAAAGTGACTATAACTACTTCAAACAATGATTATGTGATAAGCTTAATTATTAAAAACTGGATCATTGGATAATGAAATTCAAGACTTTTTATTGGCTTAGCCATTATGGTATATCAGCCAATATACCATAATCTACAAATATGGTAAGCGTACGTGTCTGCTTAAAATTAAAAGGGAGCTAAAAATTTAATAAAATTGAGTAATTTAATTTAACGTTTTTAATAAAACAATTATTCCACTCGCGCTTGTTGGATATGAGATGATTATAGCCAACTCGGCGCTACGCGCCCTCGTTGGCTATATATCATTTCATATCCAAAGCGCGCTCGTGGAATAATTGTTAATTATTCACGCATTCTGATTAGTTCTTATCTATGAACTATTCGAGGACAGAAACCCAGCTGACGTCATCATTCACAACATTTCTTCTTTTTATCATATCAAAAAATAGAAACCTAACTTGTTATGTCAAATTTTCCTTTATTCATCGTAAACTGTACAAGCAGTCTTGTGAAGTACCCCGCAGAGTGTTCTAAGATTGGCCATGAAAAGCCCCTTGGGGAGCGGTCAACTAACCTATGTATGTATATATTCATTACTGAACAGACGCCGAACAACATAGAATCTATATGTATATCATTTACCCATCTACCATAATTATCATAGTCAGTATAAATATTACTGTCATTGCCAATATCATTATCTTTATTACTTCTATCATTATCAATTCCATTTCTAGTTTGGTTATTTCATTAACATCAAAATATAGTTTTGTCAACGAATGGTCACTAACCTGATCAATTCAGATACCAGTATGATGGTTTTAACAAATGGTAAACACCACAGCGTACACTATTGAGTTATGGATGCACGCGAGAGGTTGCTAAACACGAAAGAAGCGTAAGAGTCGCTCGAGGCGATAGCGGAGAGCGACTCTAGCTTCTTGAGTGCTTAGCAAACCTCCCAAGTGCATCCATAACTCAATAGTGTACGCTGTGGTGTTTACCATTTGTTTTATAACATAACATTGATACATTGTAGCTAAAGAGTTCCCTTTTATTTAACAAATCTTACGTGACCAGAAAAAACAAGCGCGCGCGGAAAAATAGTCTTTGCATTTGCTCACGTCAGCAGCGTACACCCATGGGTAAATGGGGGACGCTAAATTGACCAATCAGAGCGCGCGCTTTACTATGGTTATGTTATAATATCGTTTTGTCATAGTCATTGTGCTCTTTTTTTAAATTTGATAGGTTGTTTTTGTTTTCTTGGCAGGTTAAATGAAGAGTGAGGACCCGCAACAACGTGGGATGGATTTATTTCACCAGAATAAAAAAACATTGTTGACTTAATCAAGCAGAGAAGTTCAATAAACTAGCTTAAATGCTCAATATCGAAACTTGTATCAACGTATTTACTGATACTCCAATGGTAAAAACGACTACGACCAAATTCTTTTGAATATAAAACCACATAGTAAGACACCAAGATGAGTAACATGCACCAGCAACAGCAGCAAGGCGAGGTGACTTGTAACAACGTATTTACTGATAGTCCAATGGCAAAAACGAATACGATCAATTTTTTTTTTTAAATATAAAACCACAACGTGAGACACCAAGATGAGTAACATGCACCAGCAACAGCAGCAAGGCGAGGTGACTATTTTCAACGACGAAAAATGGAGAGAATAAATGCCTCTCATCCAGTGTCTATCTTTATGTCTTCGAATTTTTCTCGTGATGCAACACCTGGAATCTCACCACTACATCCAAATCAGGGCCGAACACCTGCAATATTTCCACCACAATCGCACGGTGATCAATTTTGCCACCATTTTGAAAATCCAGGGTACTGCGCCTCTTTTATTGACTTATGTACGGAAAAAAATGGTAACTAATGTTACTATGGCGGTCAAAACGAAGACAAACGAGACGAAAAGATAAAGTTTGGTCTTGATTTTAAAAGTATTTACAGATTTCCGGTGGACGGAATCGTAACGAAATTTCAAAAAAGAAAAAAAGCGTTGGATAAAAGGTATATTTTAATCTTTTCTCTTTTTACTAAGTTAATATTAAGAAGAACTTTATTCAAAGCTTCTGCACTAATATAAATTCAATTGCAGTTGCATGTGGTACGTTGGACAGCTCTTAAGTTATTGAATTCCTTACATCAATCACTACCTGAAAAGAGATATTTGATCCACTGTCGGTATCGCAGAACTTAAATTATCCACGAAAATTTTTTTTAAGCGTCTGTACTTTTTGATTAGCAGCGATGATCTTTGGATATACTGTAGGCTCTAGAGTTTTCAACTGTTCTTTAAAACTTTCGTTCGATAAACCGTGACCTTGGAACTTTTTCAAATTTTATGCTGTCAGGTGTTTCATGCCCAAAATTTATTTGGAAAGCTAAACTTCGTATGCAGTGTTTCACTAACCGTCGCAGTTTGAGATAAACTGCAAGTTGCTTTCAGAAACGAAGGATCGAGGCGTTTTGTAAACTTCTCCTGAACACCATGGGGAGCTGTTTGTGAATGGGGAGCTTATTCAAAGGGCATTGATTAAGCGTCAAGGACCAAATGATTATTTTTCATATAAGTCTACTTTATTATCCAATTGTGCTTCGTAGAGTACAAATAACGCCCGAGACGAGTACAAATATATATATCTTATTAGACGTTTTGTTGTGTAGTATCGCTGAGTATTTTTACGAGTTGTGCCGTATTTCGAGTCAAAATACAAACAACGAGTCCATCGGTTTAAGCAGCCTCTATGAACAAAGCAATTTTAAACCGTGTTTCTGCATTTTCTCTCATGTGCTTTATTTCCTTATTTAATTTCTGCAGCTCAGATACAATCAAACGGCATTAGTTTTATACATGTAACATGCCTTGTTAGTTATTTTCTTAAATTAATGAATGAGCCATTTTTAATAAATGTTTTATTCTATCTCTATTGTTGTCATTTTTTGTTGTTGTGTATATCTTTTCCCTTACTGCTCAGTTTTGGTAACTGAGTAATTTTTTCTAAGTTGTTATGTTATCTGTCAAGCATTCTTTTCTCTTCACGTCCAAACGGTTTCCAAGGGCCAGTGATGAGTTATCCAGCTCCTAGTGTAAGAACAAATAGAGAGAAATAAAAACATATCAACACAAATCAACCAAACTAGAAAAATAACATCTCGCTAAAGTGAAGGTAGACATCCTCCAATATTTCCAAGACTCCAAGGTAAATAACTGTTTTGGACAATTTCATAAGCTGCCGGTCTAAAGAAGTACTGCGTTGAACGCTTCTCGTGCGCTGATTGGCTTGTTCGCAAGTGATTAGCAAGTAGTCCAAGCAGCCGAATAGAAAGAATCACGCATGTTAAAAACATATTTTAAAACATGGCTTCGGGCCCGTTACCTTACCGGGACTTTCGAGAAACGGGACCCTGATCACTTTTCTTTTTTTTTTTTTTTGAGATGAATTTGAAACGCAGTTTTCACTCGGGAAATGAAACTAAAGTTCTGCATTCCCATTGTAGAACGGATGAAATATGTTTCGTTCACATCGGAGAATGGGTGAATTTTAAAACGTCTGTTTTCACCATGAAAATGCAAACACCGTTTTACGTTTGCACTGGAAAACGAGGGAAAAGTGTTCTTTACACCGAATAACGATCAATTTGAAACGGTGTATTTTCTCTGGAAAGGCAAAACTATTTTCCGTCAGTACTGGAAATTACGGATAAACATTTTCTCGCCAGCGTATAAAGAACAAGGCGTAAGTGACCGGTAGGTCCCATTACGACGAGATGTGAACAGCTAGCATTAAAACACTTACCAGAACAAAATCCACACGTCTTTCTGCATTTATCGGTCATAAACGCCTTCGTTCTTGGTAACTGGCAGTAACCATAAGTACTCTTCAACATTGTACAAGTAGTCGACGGATACTTATCAACGCAGGGTAATGTTACTACAGAACGAAAACCAAATGAGTAATGCACCGATCAATTCGAAGCTTCAACATACCCCCCATCCCCGGCAACCCAAGGGCTTTTGACTGTCGTCCGTGCCAGTTGGGTGAGGAATTTAAACCTTGCCTGGTTGGGTTGGGTAATTTGAACCGGAGCTGTCAAGTCTTTTTAGCGGAATAAATGTGTTTTAATATGGGAATGGTTAAAAGTGAAAAGGTCATTTCGCGCAAAAAAGGCTCAGAGGAGAGCTCTAGAGGAAAGTCACGCTCGCTAATCTTGCCTTTTATAAAAAAAAATGTACCATCAAATGCGGTAATTGGGTGGGGAATTTGAACATAATCTTGGCCCGGGGGGGGGATTTGATTGAACCAAACGATAAAAGTTCAAATACCCGAGAGGTTTCCCGGAAGGGTATGTTGAGGCTTCGAATTGATCGTCGCTTAATTGTTTTCTTAAACAAAAATTTATAGTAGTCACTAAACTAATCAGAAATTTAAGTAAAAAACGACCAAACTGCTTGATTGCGATTTACTAAGGCATTGATTGGTTGTAGTTTTATATTTGAATGACTTAGGAAAAGAGGCAAAACCAATATGAAATTGCCTCAATGAAAACAGTTCAAACTGTACTTGTTATTTCGATTTGTAAAGCATCTTTTAGTGGATTCTTTAATTCCTTAGCAAGTTGAAATCATTTGAAAGGAGAAAAAAGTTTAATTTTGTAATATCTTAAATTTTTATCTATTTGTTTATTCATTCGTCCATTCAGTTTTAGATTGGTGCTTGGATATCGGTCAGATGAATCCTTTTGAACTTGTGCAAATAGCTCTGTCTGTTTCCGGGATACGATGCGCTTCTACCGTACTATTTTTCTTTGAAATAGGGTTAAGATATTGACCAGTTACATGTTGTAGATAATATTCTTTACTCACCGACGCTCTGACCTCCTAAAAATGTAGAAAAAGAAAACTGAATTAAGTACAAGATTGTTAGTTGGTTAGGATGTATGTATGTTTGTTTTTGTTTTTGTTTTTTTTAATTTATATCTTCGAAATTGTAGTATCTATCTTCCATACCACCCTCGTACACACCCAAATTTTTATATCCACCCTCGTACACACCCAAATTTATAGGCCAAATGAAACTTACCGCAAATTCCACAGGCCTTACGACAACTCTTCCTCACAAAAGGGTTACTAGAGCATTCATGTACATAATCTTTGCATGTAGGCACCTCATCTACGCAGGGCCCAGGAGCTAACTCAAACAAGACAGAAATTCATCTATTAGTGAAACTCATCCAGTTTACTAACTGGTATTTTTATCATAGGATCGCTTAGTCATCATGCCTTAATTCTAATGCTGGATCCGTCCAGAGAGGGCGAAGCACAAGTACTTTGTACAGTGTGAGAAGACAATTTGCTATTTTGAAAGCACAGGAATGCTTAAAACAGTCTTGTATATAGGTGCATATAACATCGACACACTTACACTTAGTCGAGTCCGGTTGAGCAGTTCCTTGCACTGAAAAGGGCAAAATCTGATTAGAAACGTTAGCTAGGAAAATTTTTTTTACGAAAGACTTACAACTGTATTAAGGGTACGACAACGCAACGCAACACTCTGGGAAGTGTGCAATGAAGAACGATATTAGAATTGACATTTTTCTTAATATGTTCGTTTCCTTTCCTCAATATGAGTAAGTTTGAGTAATTTGATTGGTCCTTGTACGTGATGTATTTAGGAAAGACTTGTAGATGAATTCGTTATTAGCGCACTTTTTTTTTCCTTATCTTGTCTTGTTTTCATACTTAGCGATAACTTCTCCTGATTACTGATTACCTTTAGAAACCATTATGCTCCGTTGAATGTTAGGCTTTCAACAGCAGTAACTGTCGCATATCAATATATCTTTTATTTTTGGGGCACAATAAAAACGCTACGATACATCACAAGATCTCACATTACATGACATTACTATGTTAAGGAAAAAAAAAAAGAAAACATTTCGTCAGTAAGGAAGTAAAAGGGGTATTGATAACAAAAAATAAGCAAAGAAATTTATTGAAAAAAGGAGAGCGGCTCCAGAGCCCTAAAGTGTATTTAGAAATTATTTTGTTATTAAACTATGCTATTTCTGGTGCGCTGTTTGTTATGAAATGATAGACGAAGTATTTTTTTTTAAGGACATTTGCATATCAATCTTAGGGTAGCGTGCAAGTGAGCCCTCATTGTTAGCGTTGCAGGACGTGCGTTCCTTTCCGATTTGCCGGAAGTCTGGCACTAATGTTATCATTGCTAGACTCCTTGCAAACCTCCCGCCGGCTCGCGTCGCTCGAGGCCACTCACTCTCCCGCTGGCAAAGGGACACTCGTGGCGTAGTGCAAATCTAAGGTGTATACTGGATTGGGCTTTTTTCACTCCCTGGTCTTCCGTTTAATGTACTGCCAGACCTACTCACTGCCAGACTTACTGCCAGACCTACTCACTGTAGATATATTCAATTCCATGTCTTTCCTCGTCCGTGAGATTTTGGTTGTTGCTGTACTCCATATACATAACAGCATTAGGATCGTTAGAGTGCTTCAACCCCAATAGATGTCCAATCTCGTGAAGAGCAATTGAGAACAGATTGTATCCAGTCGTATTACTGTTGGTGAATTGTTCATCGTCGTCAAAGTGAAGATCGCCAGTTTTCGGATAGAAAGCATGAGCAATGCTTCCACCTGTACCATCAAATTTGCAACAACAGCTGGGGTGAACCTTTGCAACAAATCTTCAAGGGAAAGGAGCCAATATTATTTATGCAAAGAAATCGATATTAATTAAATTTTGATCGAACTGATGGTAGATAGCTCTCAATACTAACATACCTTACAAGGATTACCTGCAAGACTAGTGTATGATTTAGAAGCAACGACAGTTATATTTTGGATTTAACTACCTGTGTAAATCTCCAAAGTTGATTAGCTAAAAGAGGAAACAAACGGTGAAGTTCATTGGTTTCAAAATGTGAGCAGAGGAGACTGAAGATTGTGCCTATCAAACGCCTACCAAACGAAGTATCTTCAGTTTTCAACTGAACGTCACCGAAGCCAAAACCAAAATGTAATCATAGTGACCAATCAGAACTATGGTTTGTATTATCATGAGCCAATGAGAACTCAAATTGTTAAAAGCAAATTGCTCGAGCCGCGGGAAAACGTAAATGACCAAGTCGTGAATGTTTTTAGTTTTGCATCTGATTGGTTGAGAGGATGGTGTGAGTTTTCTGGACCAATCACAAAACAGAGTTTCAACGCTTAAATGAAAATTGACCTACCCGTGATTAATACGTGACGTACATGTAGTGCTCGACCCACACCAGTGGCCTAACTAATTATATCCTTGTGTAATCAAGTGTTTCCTTTTCCTTCCCTTTCTTGTTTTCATATACATTCCAATTAATTGGCATGGATAAAATAACGTTACACGCGTGATACTTTTGATTCCACTTGTTATGTTGGGATTTCATTCACTTGCACTGGTTATAGTACAGGTATAGTTACAGAGGATATTGCATAAGCGCGCGTGGATGAGAATTTTATCTGTGAGTGTAAAACTATATCTCTTACGAGTGAGCATAGCGAAAGGATGAAAGATGCTGCAAACACGCGAAGAAAGATTCGTATCCGCAGGTGGATATGTAATGTTCTGTGTACTACATAGATAATGACTGTATGTTGGAAGATCATCAGCACATAAACTGAGCTCGTATAAAGGCTACTTCACCCTCCGTCAAAGTTCTCATTACCAGAGATGTTTTCTCTCACACAAAGTTAAATTCAACCAAAGTAACGTTCGATAATGTAATAAAACTGTTTGTGAAAAGTTGATAAATCCAGTTACATAGACGACATAGATGTATATGACCCGATATTTGCGCGCGGTGAAAATATGTTATCCAAAGAAGTTGCTTTATTTTGACTCTAGTTGAAGGCCGCTACTTATATACGCCATTAATACCGAATAGTTTACTTACGATATATTGATGCTCGCGTTTGAGCTGGCGTCAGTGACCTCACTGAACGAAATCGGACCTATTTTTTCCCATGCCCGAAAAGCTCTCTTTATGATACGTCGCTGTTGACTTGCTGTCAGCCCACCATTTGATGCGAAGTTATGGATTCTGTATTTGAGATGCATATTTTCCCAGCGACGTCCAGAGACTGAAAACCTCTTGATCCGCCCTAAAAGATAAAAACTATCAGATCAGAGAGGAACAATACAAGAAAATAGATATATAGATACATTATTATTTGACTAATTAAACCGGTTCTTTAGAGGTGATTTAATGGAGCATGCAACCATGAAATGGGTTCGAATCTTCGTGGAAGACTCAATTTTTTTCCCAATGGCCTGTTTGTAATGTCTTTTACCTGTATTGAATCAACTCAAATAAAGCTAAGAATAATCTTTAAAGTAAAATTTAATCCACGCTTCTCTCCCAAAATCAATCTTAGTAGTATTTGTGAGCGATTTATTGTATATTAGGTGGCCAACTAAAATTGTGTTTTTTAAAATGGTAAAATGGTGTTTTTTACCGTTTTTCATCCAATTTCTAGTCTGTGCAACCTTTATTAAGCGGTCACCCCGTCATTCCCCGTGGATGACCCCGTAACACCAGTTTGACAGTAGGACTTTGTTTGTGTCACGCTAAGGTATTACCTGATTTCCCCATAAAACGCTGTAATAGATTCTTCCGATTCCTCTCCGCTTTGGCAGTTAGTTGGCAGTCAATTTTTCTAGGTAACCTCCTTTATACTGGTTGACGACGGTTGATTCCTTTCAGTTCCCCCTGAAAATCATGCTATCCCCCTACTGTTCTACCGTTCCCCTCCCCCACCTAAGGCGATAAATAATGACGGCTCCCCTAAGTTGCAGTATATTTTACCAGGGCTGGGTTTGTCATCGTCGTCAAAATCTGGAACACCGCATCTTGGCTTGTGCATTTCTGCTATTGTTTTACTATCCAGCTGGCCCGTGTCTGGGATATGCGTAAGTTCTTGGAAGATTCTCACGGCGTCTTTGAAGTTATGGTTTCCACTTTTTAAGGGGGACAGGTAATGATACTTCTTCAGAAAATCCTAAGAGATAAAGCAGATTTCTTACCTTAGCTTTGAAGTATGTAAAGAGCTTTTGTCTCAGGCTAAGACAAGTTCGACTACGAGTAAAAGACTAGAATGAAAGTTTTTAACCCCTCCACTCCTGAAGGTGATGAAGATGTAACTTCTCCTTATAAGTAATGAGAATACTCAAACTTTTCAAGTAGACGTTGTTATCTTGATCTAACGGCCGATTCTCATAACTAACCTCCGACGAAGGGCTAACGCTCGAAACGTCAGCTTTTGGAATCGTTACGGTGGCCAGTTTACCACTTCAACTTTGGTGATATATCCAAATTATCTCATAACTAATATACAAGGAAATGTGTAGCAGCTAGAGGGGAGAATTACCAAAACCAATTTTCGTAGCAAAAGGGTTAACAAAATACTAACAGAATCTATACCACGAGACGTCATTGTATTCCTTATGAGTAACTAAGTTTTAACGTTACTTTTATTAACGGATGATATCTTGTTTTTGAACACCAATTTTGAACGTCGGGTAATTTGCTTTGTCCAAAGGCCGACTTACTTTCAAGCTCCTGTTGTGCAAAGTCGCTTCTTTTGTCAGTAAATAGCAGTAATCAAAGGCAAAGTGATGGACACGACATGCCACAAATTAAAAAAACATATTAAAACAAAATAAATAAATAAAAAAACTTGCCGCTTGATCTGGCAGGAACTAAGGCATTGCAAAGATCATATCAAAATTGGCCAAGCAAATCATAAGATCATCTGAAAATCGGTTTTCTTTATATGATGAAAGCAGAATTAGAGATATATGATCAACCCTATGAAAAATTATTCTTGGGGGTGAACTAATTTTTTTATTGCCCAATTAAAATCAGTGATAATTCAGTGCGAAAAGATTTGCTGCAAAACTTGTATTAACCAAGTCTCCATTTGTCGTCACCGTTACCATCAGTTGCGTTACCATCAGTTGCGTTACCATCAGTTGCGTTAGTTCTGGTAAGAAAGAGACGACTTTCTCTAAAACGGATGGTTGCTACATGATAATTTCGATTCAGTGATACGTACCAGAGCAAATCGTTTCTCCTTTTCATCTACTGGAGCACCATTTAAACAACACAGAGATAAGAAGAGAAGAAGAAATCGCAACATTTGAGATGCTCTTCGCATCATTGGTGTTTTTTGCCTCTAATGGGCACTGGTTAAACGATAGATGTTACCTCTCCGAGATTATGATTCTTATAAACACAGTATGGCTGAAATGAAACTCTTTATTAATTTGAAGAAGCTGGTCCTTGAAAATAAGGGCATCCTTTGAGTGAAAGAGCACTTCAACGACTCTAAGATCGTTGAAGTTGTCCCCTTCAATCTGCTCCCGGATCATTAAGATCACTTTCGGGAAGTGCACTGAGTTATTTTTATATCTCTTTAAATATTCGATTTGACAAAACCTTGGCTCGAGTTAGCTGCATTAGGTTTCTACATCAACTTAGTTTCATGACATTGAAATAGTTATTGAAAGATCTCTTTAGTGAGTCTTCTCATTACCTTCCATACAATTCTCATCATGTTAGATCTGATGATTTGGTTTTCAGGCGCGTAACGTGGTCATTTTTTCAAGTACGCACAAGTATATATGATCTACAAACCTAAGTAAACTGAGCGAAAAATACTGCGTTATTTACTTCTTGTTCGAAATAGTCGTGTGAATACAAGCAAAGAACAAAGCGTCTTGCCCTTACTTTGGGCAAACTTGGCGCAAACACAACATTGTTTTCAAAATTTTCCAGTGACTTCAAGTACGCAGGTGCGTATATGCGTATAGGACGCTACGGGCCTGGTTTTGGATCATCTAATAATTCCCTTGTTGATATTTTTCTTCTATGTCATCGTCATCACCTGGGAGTTTACTAATTAAAGGGTTAACAAAAGGTTTCCGAACAGTGTTGAACAGAAACTCCTCTTCTTATCGCGCACAAAACTCCTAACAGAAATAATTTGTTCAATTTTCAAATTTTATTTTTTTGATTTTCCTTTACTCTGATGCAAAAGAACACGCCCATGGCTTTCACTCTTAAACTCCTAGACGTGATTGAAATGTAACTTCTCCATTCAATATTCATACTTTATCCAGTAAACAAATAAAGAGATTATTTAAACTTATGAAGTAGCAGTTGTTATCTTGTTCTAAAACTAAATTCTCGTAACTAATATGCAAGGAAATGTGTAGCAGCGAAATGGGAAAATTAACAATCTGATCATGGAAGTTCAAGGGTTTAACCTTAACCTTAATCGCTGGTAGTTGACGGAAGATGTTGTGAAAACAGATATTGTGATTTATTTTCATAGGAGAATTAAATGTTTCCTTTTACATTATTACCTTTTATCGTGCTCTCGAAGACGCCAAAACAATCACTCGCCCATCAGTGGGGGCCGATCATGAACGCGAAGCCGGAAGTATCTCCAAACTTGTTAAAAATGAATTAGTTACAAAACAAAAATATTAGGAGGCAAATCTATTGACTAACAACCATTTTCCTAAAGATTGAAGTAACAAATACGAGTAAAATATTGTTGAAAGAGTAATTAGTTGAACGTGTAAGATAAGATAGTAATTTATATCAATGTATTCCTCCGGTCATCGGTCGAAATTATTTTGTCAGTTGGCAATTGTATGAGTGAATATTCAACATGTCAAACAATATAATCGCAATACACGGAGATCAGAAACTGAATGATAAGCTAACTTCTATTGCAACAGATATTTTAATTATCCCAGTCACCTTCACTGATTTGTTTTTTTTAAGTATCTTTTACTGTGATCATTATTAAGTGGGAATAAAACGAACCATTTCCTTTCCATTATACAAGTGCTACCTTCCTGTTTGTTGCCATAGAAAATCATGGCACTCAAGTAAATTCAGCGATTCAGTTCGAAAGACGGAAATCAAAATAGGAGATAGAAAAATGAATCAGTTTTTTTCGATACTTCCAGATGGGAAACTCGTCGTTAACTTCGAGAAATATTATAAATCGTCTTTTTTAACTCTCCTTGATCAAGAAACCATCCTGCAAAATTAATTCCTTTTTTGAATATTTCAAATCAGTTTTGTTTTTAGCCTCAATAATTCATAAAAACGTTGCTACTGAGAAAGCTACTTCCTATCCATTAACTCAAGAGCTGCACTCTTAAATAATTCCTGTTTATTTTCCAGAAAAACAGATCCATCGGAAGTCTTCGGCTAATTAAAAATGTCTTAAGTGTGTCTTTATGGGTTGTTACCGTGGGTATCATTTTCGAAGCTCTAAGGTTCTTTTACCCTTTTTTAAAACCATCATAAAAAATTTATTCCATCATCTACATCGGTGAAGAGGGAGAAAAATACAGAAAAATGTGTTCGTAAGAATGTACTTTGTCGTCCAGAAGTCATTTATTTTTCTCTTTCCTTTCTTTGCTTCTAAAGAAAAGAAATCTACATTAATTATGAAAACAAAATTTAACTGATCTTTTTAAACCTATTAAAGAGATGAGTTTATAAAAATGTACTTTCTCGTTTAGACGTCACGTATTTTCTTTTTTTCTCATGTATTTGCTTCCGAAAAGACCTTAGTAAAAACAGTAAAGCCATCTTTATTTTTTCAATTTTTAAAGAAAAAGTTTAGAACATGATTTTCGTAGAGAAAACGTCATTACTGCGCAAGAGCCATTAAACAACTTCTGGGGCAGACCTTTAACGATGATAATCTCACGAATCAATCGATTTTCTCGTTTATCAGAAAACAGTGACAACTAAATTTTCTGAGATCATCATAGAGAAATTTCGGGCCCTCCTTCAACTAGAACTCGCAACCGTTCTTCTGTAAGAAAATTGTGTCTGAGGGCTTTAGCCGTTGGGGCTTATTTTTGTTTCTAACAACTCTTCGCGCAAATTCGAACAAGCTTAATTTCTACGAAAAAACAAGTCATAAAGACTTCTTAATCCTTTCAAGCGTTTGATTTTTTCCTCTTGCCTAAAGAACTCGTGGGGAGTGCGCAAACGAAGCAAGTACATTTGGATATTCTTTCTTTTAGCTCTCTAACTTTTCTCATCTGCATATCGCATTCAGCTAAAGTGCAATCTTTTACTCGATCATGGGGCTATGATGCGTAACAGAAAAATTGTTTTTATTGCATTTGGAATGTAATGAGTGAAGAATATTTTTTTTTTTCACCTGGCATTGAAGAATTGATTAATATATATTAACAGGGCCACCCGACAAAATTCCCTAATTTAGTATGTATGTGTTTCAATTTAATATGTTAAAACAACCGGGACAAAATAGTGACTACCTTATCAAAAGCACTAACTAAGCAACTCCTCAAAACTCCTTGGATATTTTAACTGGCTTGAGATGCTAGGAGATCTGAATGGTTATGATGTTGTCCAGCGAAATTCCTCGGTGTCCTCTCTGCCAGACATGGCAGCAGTGCTTCTGTGATGCGTGTATCCGTCTGCGACCTCTTCAAGGTCTTTGGCCGCTATGGCCCGACACAGCAGAGGACGGGCAACAAACTTGTTTAAAATTCCTACAGACACTGATATTGCCAATTAAGCAAATTTAACGAAAGATGACTGCTATAAACTCAGATATAAATACACGGTCAATGATTGAGGCGAAAGTTAAAAAGAATGTGCCAATTTTAACGAGATTTTTTGTACGTGTCGGAGCAAGTGCCAGCAGTGACACTATTCTCTCAAGTCATTTAGAACGGCATATGGTATTTTGTAGACTGGACTGGACTGGACTGGACTGGACTGGACTGGACTAGTAAAACGCGGACTAGTAAAGCGCGGACTAGTAAAACGAGGACTAGAAAAACGCGGACTAGTAAAACGCGGACTAGTAAAACGCGGACTAGTAAAACACGGACTAGTAAAACGCGGACTAGTAAAACGCGGACTAGTAAAACGCGGACTAGTAAAACGCGGACTAGTNTTACTAGTCCGCGTTTTACTAGTCCGCGTTTTACTAGTCCGCGTTTTACTAGTCCGCGTTTTACTAGTCCGCGTTCTACTAGTCCGCGTTTTACTAGTCCGCGTTTTACTAGTCCGCGTTTTACTAGTCCGCGTTTTACTAGTCCGCGTTTTACTAGTCCGCGTTTTACTAGTCCGCGTTTTACTAGTCCGCGTTTTACTAGTCCGCGTTTTACTAGTCCGCGTTTTACTAGTCCGCGTTTTACTAGTCCTCGTTTTACTAGTCCGCGCTTTACTAGTCCTCGCTTTACTAGTCCTCGTTTTACAAGTCCAGTCTAGTCCAGTCCGAGAAATACCATATGCCATTTAGAACTCAGTCCCCTTTGAAAGAAAAACAATTTATAACGACGACCCTTTTCAATGGGTTTGATAAGGGGAAAAAACAACAAATGCCAATCATCCAAGCAGCCTCTTTGGAAACAGTCGATAAAAATCGCTTTGAGTGTGAAAACAATAAACATCTTGATCGTTCTTCTGTACCAAGATGATGTCTGTACTCCGCATCTTGGTGCAGTCAAAGTTGGACGAGTACAACTCCTCTTCTAGTCGTTCACATCGCTCGTCCAATCTCTTTTTACGAAGCACAGTTAACTGGAATCAACTGAAATATAAATATGTGATTTCAAAACGTAAATTAATAATTTCTGTAGCGAAACGCTCGTATATTTTGCTCATTTCTTTTATTTATTATTTTTTAAGCTTTGAGTGTCACTCCGCGCAGGGTCTGGGTCAGAATCTGCATACAGGAGTCACGTGATCAGTTGACCGTTTTTGAAAAATGGCGGCCACCAGTGTAAATATTTACTCACCACTTTCAAGGCTTAGAAACGATAATCAGTCGTTGCTTGAACAACTGAGACATGGACAGGATGACATTTGGAACGTCCTGAAAAACATGCGGTCCACAAGGGCGTCTTATCCAACCAGAACACACGGAGAAACGAGTTTTATCTATCGAGGAACAGACAGAACGCCATCGAAGGTGTCTCGCAAAGTCCACGAGAGCATGAGAGATGCGGGTCAAACAAGCACGCCGAAAAGTTATGGGCATGCTTTGGTTGCTGATGGTAATGACAGAAGAAGCAGGACACCGTCTAGACCAGCCTCTATTCTAACTACACCAGGTAACCGCAAAAAGGTGAGATAAAATAATTTCCATTTGAGAGCAGAGCACATAACCATAGGTAGCTTACCAATTACAGCCGTGTACATGTACGCTTCTGGTGAGAGTTACAAATAGCTACAGTAAGGAAACGTAATACCTCCAGTTCAGTGAAGGACTGTTCGTACCCTACACTTTTGTTTTTATGAACACAGAAGTTGATCAGTGTGAAATAAGACAGTACTTTGGAAGGTGTAGGGATTTGCTAAAACAGTTATCAGTAGTTATTGCTTGGCCATGTCAATTAAATATCGATATTGATCAGTTAGAACAAAATTGTAATTTAAACTTATTTGCTTAATCCAGTGAAAATTGTTTAGGTTAGAACTGTGATAAGAAATTATACGCAGATCCGATCAATATATAATCACTTAATCTTGTTTGATGTAACGCGCCAATTCATAGAAGAAAAAAAGGATAAAATCAATAAAAACTAAGAAATGTTTCAAATTGGAGATCTTCTAGAAACTAGGAATGTTCAGGTGAGATTTATTTAGTTTTTTGCCCTTGGTGTACAATGTTCAAAATAAAATTTAACATGCATACACATGTGGATGATCGTTCATCTAAACCTTTCTTGAAAATTTGCTGATGCCATGTGGGTCAAAACTGTTCACATTCTTTGCCTCTGACTTGGTGATGTGGCATACACATGGCATATTATGTGCAGTGTATTTCTCAATGATGCCCCCACTCTCAGCAATGACTTGTTTTTGAGTTTTTGTGTTTCTTCCTTTTCAGACACCCAAAAAATCTCTGCATGTAAGCTTTGAACTTTCTCCTCGTCATGAGCGTAGTGTGATTGGTGATGACAATGCAAGAAGGTCTCTCCTTGGGTATGACTGGATTGCAGGTCTGTTAGACAACACTTCTTACCTGTCAGAGAGACCAGATGACTTTTTGGATGAGCTGAAAGAGTTCAGACGAGTTAACAAGGAGGATTGCTTGGGAACTACTCTCTCTGAGTAAGGGGATACTTTTAACAGTTATGTTTAAGAATGTAATTTGGTTATATTAACTAAGTTGAAATTTGTAAATTGGTCACGGTAACGAATAAAAAAGCTGACGTTTCAAGTGTTAGCCCTTCATTTTGATGGAGACACGTAGAGTAATCCAGTTTTGGAAACTGCAGAAGCCAAATACAGCTCTACATGTAGCTTGATGGTCTAGATCCCTCATGGAAAGGACACCTGACTGCCAGTTATGCACCCCTAACAATAATTATGCAAGATTCAAGTTACTTCATCATGTTCAAGCTTTAAATTCCAGACAATAACTGATGGAAATTTTAATTTGCCAGGTTCCATTAAATTATATTACATGTATATACATGCAAAGTGATCTACATTGTACTGCTTAAATAGTCTTTAGTGGAAACAACTTACAGTTATAAAGTCATTTTGCTTGAAAACTCAGTTTGTATGCATGGGGTGGATAGATGTGCACTCTGAACATGTACATTTATACTGATTTAACATTAATTTTATGACTGGGAACTTTGTTACATCTTTTTTTTCTTTTCAAGAGTCCACTATGTATTTTATTAAATTTTAAGGGCCAGCTTTTAAACAAAGTTTAGGTGTTGTTTAACCAAGCCACGTTCTAAACTATCTTGAATTTAACTGAATCTTTTATCTGAACATATATTTTTGTGAACTGAGTCAAGAGGACTGAAAGCTAGCAGTGGAAGGACTTTTATTTAATGAAAACTGGTGGCTTACAGAAAACACATGTTTGTCAGGCTCACTGCTTGCGTGAAACCAGGGTTTGGGTTAGACCTTGTGTACAATAACCAACCTAATGAATTGTTGTTACTTAGTCTACATGTTTATACAATTAGTTACAATAATTATTGATTTGAAATGCCACTGTCTATTTAATCTTTCAGGAGGCCATATACTCCATTAAAGTTTACTCCAACCAGAAACACTGAAGGCAACAAAGAGGATGCAGTAACATGTAAGTACAATTTCATATATAATTATTTTACTCTTTTCACCCACATTCTTCCTGTTTGGATTTAAGGTAAAAAAGTTTCATTTAGTGCCCATAGTCAACGCTTTCTAATTTGTTTTTTAGGAGTAAATCATTAAATTATTAAATTGTGTGTATTCTGGAATATACATGTATATGTATACTGTATGTCTGTTGTTCTTGAGCTGCTTTTACAAAGGACTACTACAGAATTGGAGAAAAATTACTTAAAGGAAAGTAAAAGTAAGAATAAAGAACAATTGCAGTTTATTTTAATTTGTTTATCTACAATGTATTTATTTAGACATTTAATTATATTGTTCTTACAGAAAGTGTTTTTTTTTTCTTTACCCATTTTCCTGGCTCCCTCAGACAAAAATTATATAAAAAGTAGACTTTTGTTTCTTTGCTCTTCACCTGAAAATTACAGGAGAGAAATTAACCTGGGTATGGTATTAACATACATGTATGGTGCAGCTGGCAAAAAATTTTGTGCATGTTGGTTTTGAGCCTGTTCTCATGAATTAACCTCACCCAGAAGTGATGGAAAATGTGCATTGGAATTTGAACCAAGCCCAAAATTTAATGCTGCATAATTGATTATGGTGTGACAACTGTTTTCTGTTACTATTTGTACATGGTGTATCTTCCTTTATCCTTCAATTTTAAATGATGACAATTGCTCTAGAATTTATTGATCCAACAGTGTAAATGGTGTTTTCATGCAGGTGAAAATGCATACACTTTAAACGAGAGGCTCTTTCCTGTACCAATCCATGGCCCAGAAGCATCTTGCTCAGTTTGTCATACAAAACCAGAGTCAGAGTATGAAACAGAGGGCAGTTAAGTTCGGTGAGTTTTTTTCAATCTGAGCTGTAAAATACAGTAACGTTGTTGTATTCTTGTTTTATTGAAGTCAAGAATTTTATTTTTAACATGGTTGCTTAGAAAAGGAAAAAAAATTGCCTTGAGGTCTGGGAAAAGTCAGGGATACTCTTTGAGTTAAGGAAAATTTATGTCTGGTAAAAGTCGGAGAAAAGTTAAGTCATGAGTAAATATGAACCTATTTATCTTGCTCTGGCCTCTTCTTGATGAAAGATGCTTAAACTTTTTGTTGTGTGGAATGTTATTCATGCTAAACTATATTGTTTAATACAATAGATAGATTCCTAACAAGCATGTCATTTCCTCTTGTAATGCAAGTTCATGTTGGTTTGTAAATGAAATCAAGGCTGTGCTCTAACAGTGCCTGGTGGCCCCTGGCGCCTTACTCTTGGGCGACTCGGTAATTTTAGTTTTTTTCATACAAAGCATATGCTGGGCACCCTAGATTTCACAGTTTCAGAGCACTGGGCTCCATTCAATTTTCCTTAGAGCACAGCCTTGGAAATCATACACTTTCTTTTTCTTCCATTTTCATAATTTTTTAACATTTTTATATATGTTTTGAATTGATACAATCATTTACTTATCTTTCTTTTCCAGAGTAAGTGTACCAAGGTCATCTCTTGTCTCACCCCACAAGTTTAAGCCTCATAGAAGAGCAAGCTTTGATCCAACTGATTCAGTGGGCTTGTCATCACACTGTCTAGCTGGATGGGAGAGTTCTAAACCCACAGTCATTCCAATGCCCTCATCTTTAGATCTAAGAACATCACTTCACAAATCTCGCACCACACTGGTATGTTCTTGTGTAGGAGCTACATGTACATGTACTCTGCACATATAGTGAGATTGATACTGACAAACTTCTTATTGTTTGGGGGTAATCTCTCTCATTAAAGTTCCATGTACAGTCTTATTTTTAGTTTTGCATGGCTTTATTTGAGTTCTGGGTTTGGTCACTCTGTTGTGATCATGGGCAAGGCACCTTAATTGTTCTCTCATTAGTCTTCCCTGGGGTATAAAAAAGTCAACATTGGGAGACAGTGTCGCAAACTTCTTAATGTAGCATCAATTATGATTGTATGGGTAGAGGGTGAGGTACATGTAAGTGCCCCTCTTAGAACAGGTATCAGCTCCGTCTTTATGAAATCAGGCTCTTACTGTTTTATTCAACAACATCTTTCAGATTTGTTCTTGGTAATTGATAGTGCCTGGCTGTATTAGTGTTTAAAAGTTTGATTGTAACATTTTTTTTTAAAATATCTCTATAGGATGCATCACAAGCTGGCAACTTAACTAGCCCTACTACTCAGTCAACAGAGGAATTATTAAACAGAAGTCATATGCTTAGATATGGACTTCAGGTGTTAGACAGAGAAAGAAGAGAAACACCTCAACCACCTCATACCACACCATACCCTTTTCTCTGATGAGCTGCTTTTAATTAGCTGTGTAGAATTCCCTGATGATGATTTTATCTGTTACATCACAGGCGGCCCAAGCTCTCTTTGAGAACCACACAAGGAACACAATTTGCATATCGATTTATAAGGATTTGTATGGAATTTTCTACAAGATATCCAAGCACAGAGATAGTTAAAAGTGAAAATATTAAATAAAAATGGCTTACCTTATTCCATACGTGTGTTGCTTGCTTCTGGTAAGCAACACACGTATGGAATAAGGTAAGCCATTTTTATTTAATATTTTCACTTTTAACTATCTCTATGGATATCTTGTAGAAAATCCCATACAAATCCTTATAAATCGATATGCAAATTGTGTTCCTTGTGTGGTTCTCAAAGAGAGCTCGGGCCGCCTGTGGTTACATGAAGATGGTATATCTTTGTTCACATGTGCAGTGGAAACTCTCTTAACCCTTAAACCATTAATATCTAAAAAGCAATTCTCCCCTTTTTACATTTCACATTCCCTTGTTCCTTTTAAAACAGGGGTTGGTAATTGAGCCCTCCTCCTTCATTTCCTTGATAATATTTTGAAAGTTAAAGAATAAACTATGTATCAATCACCTCAGGGGGGAGGGGTTCAAATCTAACCTCGTCTGTCCTTTTAAATCCTGATAAAGCATCTACTTTATTATAAGCATCTACTTTATTATAAGCATCTACTTTATTATAAGCATCTACTTTATTTTAAGCATCTACTTTATTATAAGCATCTACTTTATTATAAGCATCTACTTTATTATAAGCATCTACTTTATTTTAAGCATCTACTTTATTATAAGCATCTACTTTATTATAAAGCATACAAATTCTGCCTTTAAAAAATTTCCTTATGATTTCTGTTCATTTTCTACTTCTCAGTTACATCTTTTCAATTAATGCAGCCTCTGGGATATGTGCTTGTTAATTCAAACATATTTGATTCTGGTTTTCAAAAACAATACCACACATGAATTTGATTAAATTTACATGTAGTGATGATTTTTACAGACTATTGATGTCACATGCATGTATGAATTAATTTTATAAAGAAATGATTGCAAAACAACCCAATTTATAGTCTCAGAAAAATTCACATAAGATGTCTATAAAACCGTTTGTTGTAATTTAATGTGATGTTTAGCTCTGTTTACTTTTTGTGTTAATTTAATACTTTTTTTTTTTATTTTATTCTGTTCTGTTTTTAAGTTTGAAATTTGTATCACAATGGCAATATTTGACTGATTTTAGAGTGAGGTATTATGTCCAATGAATTGTTCAGATTGATAGGGAAAATACATTTTTTGCATTGGGTGTTAATTTTAACTAAAGCTTTTGAGTGAATTGTTTCATGTTGATCTCTTTGCAACAATTTTCATTTATCATGGGGAGGTGTTGTATACATTGCATTTGGTTACATTTCAATTTATTTTTGGCTCCAGTCAAAGAGATTGATGCCAAATTGCATAGAATTCTTCCCTATTCAGATATTGCGCTTCCCAAATACCCCCATCTTTCATTCAATTCTTGCTTTATAGCACTTCATGGATGCACAAAGATGTACTGTTGTAAGCACGTGACAAACAGTTTACTCTTATGACCCCTGAGAGTGACCAGAATCTAATTTCTCCTGACAATATCAACCCTAGATACCACATTAAGGTCACGAGAAAAAAAGGAAATATGATCAGTAGGTAAAGAAGCTCTTGATTGTTGAACAAATTTTCTGTTAGCGCGTTAACAAATGTATGGATAACAGTATGGGGAATATGCATACTGATTTTAGGATGTAAAGGTTCTTATTACGTTGCTAAGAATACGAGCCCCTCATTCAAGAGTCCGAATCATCGGCTCCGGCTGTCTTCACTCACACCAACTGTTACCGTACCATTTACTATGGAAACTGCTACAAGTCACTAGAACTAGTTTTACTATTGCAACAAATGCAAGTCAGATCAAATCGCCTTTTATTCAGTTTTGGCTACATCAGAATGACTATGAAGATCTAGAATTCTAAATTTCTCCACGTGTCCCTCAAATGCAGTGATCTGTAGAAAAAATGACACATTCATGTAATCCTGATTTCTTAATCCTTTGCGATGTTAGTTCAATAAGCTTACAAGAACTGCTTCAGTAGCACAAAAAAGTGCTTTTCTGTACCTATGGAACTATGGAGCCGGGAACATCTGCGAGTTTGTTTATGTGTTTGTTTCGTTGCCTTTGATGTTTTAACCTTTTTGTTACTACACTATAGGATACGATTTAGATGATGGTAACAAAAACCGTCGACTTCAAAGGAATAATTGATCTTGATGATAAAATAGAAGAAAGCTTTACGCTATGAGTTACCTGAGTACTCCTTTCGTTCAACAAGCATTGCACGTCTTCTTGCACTTCAGTCTCACAATTATGTTTGAGCAACGATTCTTAAAGAACGGGCAGTACACGGTGGAGTCCTGACAGACAACACCACCACCACCGCCGCCACCTAATTAAAGAGTCACGAAGTGAAAAATAACACATGCTGCAATGCCTCTGAAAAAAAGTCTCGTGAATAAAGGAAGTGTTGAGAAGAGACCACAAAGTCTGTTTTTGTACTTACATGCTCCACATGTCTTCTGGCATTGTGCTTGCACTAGTTGATTCCTACAGTACCTTGCGAGTAATGGGCAGTAGGAGTTTTTATCAGCACAGGCTGCAAATATCAGGAGAGGCAATTAGAGATAAGAAGAAAGAAACACTTATTTCATTTAAACAGCAACTCTTCAGGCTCTTGTAAAGCGTCTCCAAACTGAACTCATTCTCGGGCTTTTCGACACGGCCTAAATATTTATTAAAGTGCTACGCAATAGCTCGACTCAAAGTCTTCGTGAAGCCCAGAATCCAAAGGTGGAATCCAGGACCATTTTGAAATAGGCCCTAAATTATTAAGAAATGCTTTATCGAGAAAATAATAATTATGATAACGATGATATCAATAACATATATCGTGACGATGGTTTTGATGATTATGATGATGATTACGGTGATAACGACATGAAAACAGTCTTACCACCACCGCCTCCTCCTCCTCCTCCTCCTCCTCCGCCACCTCCACCGCCGCCGCCGCCGCCACCGCCGCCGCCGTCACCACCTCCTAACATTTTCTGCTCTATCCAGTTTCTAAAGCTGCTGACACGGGCAAACACGGTATAGTAGTCTGTCGAGCACATACGGCTTCCCCAGCTAACAGCCCCTCGTAAGACCCATTTGCCGTTCTCCTCGCAAACGAATGGACCTCCACTGTCTCCTTGGCATCCTCCCGCCTGGCTCGCGATTGCACTTCCTCCACAGATCATGGTGTTTTCGTCAACTGGGGCGAGGTTACCATTTTTATTACTGCAAGTGTTGTGTTCGACTACGGGAAGCTCGGCCTGTTGGAGGGTGTCGGCTGGTGGCCCTCCACCGTACATCCTGCCCCAGCCTGATGCGATTAGCGATGACAAACAGTTTCAGCCAAGAAACAATAACAGTTAAAGGATCTGCGCTAAATGACTATATAGGTAAGCATGGAGGCGTGGGTAGGGGATAAAGTCAATGCCAATTAGATTAGAGGGTTCTCCTCATACAGACTTATCTAACAACAAGCTCTCGTTTGAAAGAGTATCAACAAATAATTTAAATTGACACATTTTAAGGCCTAGACAAGTTATATCCTTCACTGTCAGGCGTACTCTGAGGCCTTAAGTCGCCGTAACTTTGGGCGATTTAAGGCGACTTGTTCAAAATTGGCAGAAAAAACGTTGCGACTTTAGGCCATTGAAGGCAATTCAAAGCGACTTGGAGCGATTTTATTTGACTGAAGTGATAAAATCAAAGTTAGTAACAGCCTCTCCATAAACCTTAAAAATATTTCCCGAATCCCTTGCAATAAACTCAATAGTCATGATCAGAGCAGGGTGAATCGGGTCAATTGGGAAGGGTGGAACCCTTCTAACATTGCGTAACCAATAGCGACTTGAGGCAACTTAAGGCGACTTAAGGCAACTTAAGGTCCCAGAGTAGGCCTACAGTCCCTAATGCTCTCTTGCAAAACACCACAACTTCCTGCCCAGTATATCCCTTTCACATTAAAGTGAGAAATGTGGGTAACTTTTTCTAACACTTTTGTTCAAAGAGAAGGTGACGGTTTTGGATGCTTCCAAAAATATTTAAAGAGTTTTACGTAGACAACGTGTTCTAACACATCGTCGTGCAAATTTGTTCATTTTCCAATATTTCTTGAAAATTTGTTTAGATCCGTCGGTCTCTTCTCCTTCCTTTGAGTTCTTGTTTCGCCTGAATTTGTTCAGTGAGGTTGCGATCTTACCTCAGCATTTTCTACAGGTTCTTTCAAGTTCGAGATAGCTTTGAACAGCGCAAAGGGTGACTGAAAATATTGTATCGAAGATATTTTTAAACATCTTTTCATCAACGAGAAATTTTTTTATGTTGAGAAGTATTTTCGTTGTCTACATGTTTGTTAAGCACGAATGTAAGTTTACTTCACTAAGTTCTATTATTGCGGAAATTAGAAAAACACGCGCAACGCGTAAAACAGAGCGGGGAACGAACATTTGTGGCGGCGCTTTTCTACATGTATGTAAACAATCCTTACCTGTAATGAAACACCTAGTTCCGGGGGGGACTTTATCTCCGTGTTCCGGCAAACAAGCCAGGTTGACTCTCTCACTGAGCTGAGCCGATCGCTCAAGTTGCAGAAGAGCAATATCATTCTTTAGGCTGTTGCTGTTCATTGAGAATCCTTCATGAGAGTACAGCTGTTTCAGGTTAAATGTCTCCTGTACTTCTGTGTTGCCATTCATAACGTGAGAGCCTGCAGAATTTATCAGCAATCACTTTCTTTAGATTTATTTGAAGTTCTTAACATCGCTACTAACCACATGAAGTGTAATTATTTGTGTGTAAGTCTCCTTGATGATAGGATAAGCAAAAGTTAAAAGTGCACGTGTCACAAGTTCCAAAACCGGTTTTTTTTTTAAAAGTTACTTTGTCCCTGAAAATAATCCAATTGATCCAATTCCTGATCATGATATTTAAAGAAGTTAATAACTAATTACATGTTATACTAAGTGGCGGATCCAGGAGAGGGGCACGGGGCGCCTCCCCCCCTCCCTTCCTTATTTTGGATAAAAAAATTAACGCAGAGGGAAGACAAGCCGGCAGGTGAACACACACACAACCAAAAATGCCCCTTCCCCCCTTCTCCCTTCCCCCTCCCCCCCTTAGCTCAAGGTCTGGATCCGTCGCTGGTTTACGTACTGCTCATTATACGGCTACAAAAAAGAAATAACGCTATTCAGACATATCCAACAAGTATAGAGTTAGTTTTTATCAAACTCTAGAAAATATTCAATTGATTGTGCAAAAATCCGAACCGGCAAGAAGTAGAGAGTTAAGCTTTTTTTATTATTATTATTTTTTAAAAACATCAGCGACCGGCCGCCGCGTCTTGACTGAGTCTTGACTAGCCTGAATATACATTGGTTTAATTATGTGAGAAAATGTCATGTTATGATGTCTGTTTACGAGACTAGATTATTGAGATATACGATCTTTATTGAGATTATTGAGATTATTGAGATTATACGATCTTTTTTTATTTATCTGAAGCACTTCGTAAATCAATGTACTCTCAGTAGATTGCCATGGCCCATCTTCGAGATGTTAATTTGCATGTGTTATTGCTGTTTGCTGTATAGGTCTCGAATTCTCACGAGACGTTTCCCAACACGCAGCTGAGTACATCAAAATCGAAATCTTATTTTGATACACTGGAGAGGAGAGACGGCTTTTTCCAGTCCTTGTAAATTCAAAGGAACATTTTAATCCACTCACCAACGACCACCTGGTATCCCTCCCCAGGATTAAGTTTCCTTGCTACACAATGAGCGGCAGTTACAACCCAGTCTGGTTGTATAAGGGTTCCTCCACAGATGTGGCGTCCATTGACTCTGAGAGAAATCTGCCAAGGCCATGAATGAGGCTCAGCGTCTGATCCGCCTACCACACGGAGACCCGCAGGGCGAGAGCCACACGCTGTATGTAATCAGATTATCATGCGTAATGATACAGTAGACATAATGCTGAGAAATCTGAATTTACCGTTGAAGCAGTCAGTTTGTCAGGGGGCTAGCTAATGACCGATGTCCTGCTTAAAAGTGCCCCAAGTTTCATGAACTAAGCGGTTGAATTTATTCAACAAGTTACGTTTATGGGCTTTTTAATCAATCTTTGGATGTTTTTCCTTTGAATTTGAAATTGTGTGATAATTTTGTTGTTTAATAACCAATAGAAAATGAGGAACTAATCGATCTTATATCAGCTGAACATCGTGAATTACAACAGCTTTACCTTCAGTGCCACAGACTCCATGCAGGAAAATGAGCGTTACCCCGATCCAGAGATTCATCTTAAAGAGAGGAAATCGAAGTGTGATTCGAAGCTTAGTTGAACATTTTTTTTAATGTTCGCATCTCTATTCATTCTTTTAATTCACCTGCAAAGCTTACACCTATTGGATTTCTTTAGATATTTGGCGCTATCGATAGTTCAGGTGACAAACCTTTTTTTTTGCTGCACCAACATGTCCTGCAAAGAATATCCTTTTCTTTTTTGTTTGATCCTGTGTTATTGATTCAGTTGGCAGTGACCGCATCGAATCATATTAGAAACAATTGCTTTTGGTGCCACTGAAAAAATTCTTGAAAAAAAATTGTACCATTGTTTTCAATGAACTGATGTTATAGAAGGCATCACTGTGTTTAAACAACCTTTAAAAGATGTCGCCGACCAAAGAGTGAATAGAAAAGCTGGTTACATCAAGCTTCAATTGTGGTTTTGACAAAAGCGTATCCCACTTCTTAGCTTACACCGGTTAATTTTTTCAAAACATATATCAGACTGAGGGATATAACCATAAACGCTTTAAAAATAACTATTTTCAGGAACTCTAATGTAAACTGGCTTTAATTTAATGATCCAACGAGAGAGTTAAAACAACATATTCATAACCTTGTTTATAATATCGAAATTTATGGGATGATTCAGGTGGCTGAGATATTTTTCAGCTGGGGAAAATGTCCTTTAATCTTGCCGTTTATTTGATCTCAGTGATTTTCTTTTAATTGTATGTCTTTATGGTGGATTCTCAATAGAGAAAAAGTTATATTCCATGGTAAATCAATTTGTACAACTGAAAACTATGAAGTTCAACACTATTTATCGATACCAACACTGCTTCTAGCAAAAATGCTTCTGGTTGTGAACAGAAGTAAAAATAAAAAAGCGCTTTCGCACGCGTCTAATTAATGCGCCCCATATTTTCGTATTTTTGGCTATAATATATTAGTGCAAATCTTCTTGATCTTCACTACATTATTGGAATTTTCCCATCTCAATAGAGACTTAACAAACAGAGTAAGACGTTTATTAAAAATAATAAGTGTTCTTCGCCTTGTTCTGGCCGTGGAGCAAAGAAAAACTTTTTAAGTCCCTATGAGGGATCTACGCGAGATCTTCTACTTTTTTTTTCTCATTTCATCACCTGCTGTGTCATCATCATGAGTGGGAGAAGCATGGGAGAAGGTAATTGTTTATTATTAATAATGGAACTGAGTTTGTGCTTATGTTTGGTTGCTTCATTGTCACTTGGATTAAGCCCTTAACTTCTCAACAATCTGGTTGATCAGAAGTATTCAAGCAATGATTTTGAAACCTGTCAGGGTGTAGATGGCATGCAATGTTTTGAACTCACTTTATCCTTGACGAATTGGGGGAGAGAAAGGGAGGACTGTTGTTTCATGTGAGCCAGCGACATCTAAAATTGACGAAAACAAGACGACCGTTTCTGTAACTGGTGGAGGTGTGTTTAGAAGGGGACATGTCATTCTTAGGTCAACTGTGGGCCACCTTACCACTAGTTTGATTGCCACTGGGCCATACAGCCGAGGTCCCTTGATCGCAACTTCAATTTTCTCTTCGTTTTAAAGCAACGATGACAGATATGGAAATTTAATCAGAAGACAATTGTTTGCGACTGGTATTTTGTCACAGTGATTTGAATAGATCTATCTATAAAAAAACAAGTTTTATAGGAAATAATGAAGTCAAGTGCATGTGCATTTATTTGATTCCTTAAACTGAGTTTTGTAATGCTTTCGTATCTATGTTTTGGAGAGAGGACAAAATATAGTCCTTGAGAAAATTGATCAACAGTGATATGCATTTTTGTGAGTACAGTATGCTAACCTCTTGAGACAGGAAAATCAGCAGGAGTTACGATACTAAATACTTTATTCTTTCATGTGAATAGCTTTAAAATATTCTCTTTTGCACATACTGACCTATAACATATGTAACATTGCTTAGTAATTGCAAAAAATGTTTGGTGAGGTTAGGGCTTTGGGGGGGGGGGGGGATGACTATACCCTCTCTTTCTAGCAGAGTCAGATGTCTGGTAATTTAGTGCCCAATTTGATCCAAGTAACTCGGTGACTTCTATCCCACCACTTAAAATCTTAAAGAAAAACCTCTGTTTGAAAGTTTTTACTGGTTATGGGATACGTCCAAGGAAAGGGAAAGAGTTGAAGGTATAAATGCTTACTTCTGTCTCTAGAGATCCTGCGGACTTTCAAGTTTTTGTCACAGGTAGATAGATAATTGTTTAACTAACTTAACTGTAAACAAGGCCATATTTCTATCTGTTTAGTAGACCCATGTAGGATTCTTTACACAGTCTTTCCTCTTAAGCTGTGAGGTAGAGAACATATTTTAATTTAAGCGTATTATCCACAGAATTTTATTGTGGACTGGAAAGTAATCATGGTAACGGAGCCAAACGAGTGTTCTACTGTGGACTTTGATCTGGTAAAAAGCGCAGCCGACTTGGAAGCGAATTCAGTGCAGTCTATTTGAGAAGTGTTTTAGTCAAGCAGGGCACCTTCAGAAAGGACGCATAAAGGAGAAAAGCCTTTTAAATACATTTTTTTTGTGATAAATGCTTCAATCGCCTAGAGTGCCTTGTCCAGAGAATCACAAGAGAACTCACACAGGAGAGAGGCCATTCATATGTGACCAATTTGGCAAAAGATTCAGGCAGTCCAAGTATCTGGGAAGGCAGAACACACACAGGAGAGAAACCATATGGATGTCATTAGTGTGATAGGTGTTTTAGTCAGTCTGGAGATCTCCAGAAGCATATAAGACTACACACTGGTGAAAAGCCTTATCCGTGCGACTTGCGTGACAAGTCTTTCAGTCTTTCTGAGGTTGAAGGCATACTGCGGAGAAGCCTTTCCAGTGCCACTATTGGGAGAAGTCCTTTAGCCGCGCTGATGTGCTCCGCTTGCATTCAAGAATTCATACAGGAGAGATGCCGTTTGTTTGTAAGGAGTGTGGCAAAGTTTTTGGTCAGTCAGGATATTTAAAGAGGCCATCTTATTACATACTAGAGGGAGAAACTTTTTAAATGCAATTACTGTGAGAAATGTTTCGCTAGGAAGCCATATCCTTACTTCGCATGAAAGATCACACGAGAAAGTAGCAATTGCGCGATGAAAATGGATGTAATTGTTTCAGTATATCGGAAATTTAAACTGACGTTAAATAAAACATACACGGGTGATGTTCATGACGCCTCTGTGTTTCTTTATACTAGTTTTCCTTCTCTCGAAATCGGTTTCGTTATAGGATGCTTTATTCTAGTAACGGACTGTCTTCCCATTGGATACTGAGAAAGCAGCGAAAGTGGCCATATTGGTCTCACGATACGGGTTGTTATACATTTCAAGCATAAGGAAATGAAGAGAGGTGCGTGTCAAGATGTTTGTCGTAACAGTGAGGGGTCGCTGCTACAAGTTCTTTGGTACTTAAGAATGCAGCTGTGATTTGGGAAGGGAAGATTATACGTTTTCATGTTATTTGGTATGATTTTAATGTTATTTTCCATTTGTAAGTAAGTCTTTTGAATTGCTGTTCAAACAGAAATGAACTTCTCATTATTAACAACAATACTATGTCAGCGTTTCAGGAATTCTGAGAAAAACTAGGGTCATCAAAGTAATAACTAGTATGTACAACCGATGATTCATTCTTGTAATGGAAAACAAACGTTCAGCGCCTGCGCAACTATTATTTTTATTACAATTCAAAACTGACAATTATTAAATTATAATGCATGTATAGGGCATAATCTACTTCTACGGACCTACACGTACAGGTGCATGGACAGAATTTCTACTGAGTTACTCGGAAACGTTTGAAAAATATTACATTGAACAAAGTTCTGTAGAAAGGGGCATTGACTAATCCTAATGGTAACTGCTAATTTCTGAATTTCCTGGTTCCCTAAATATGTGCTAACTTGCCTGGAACCACTTTTATTCGAGAATGTGCAATAAAATTTCGAGAGGTGGTGGTTAAACACCACTCCTATATGTAAGAAGTGTTCTAGGGTTTCAATCCTGAATGACATATTTTTTCATTACGCGATGTATCCTATACGTTGTAGTCGTCATGATCCGCTGGAGTTTCTTCTTCAGTCGTTGCCCGCCATCATATCAAAATTAACATAATCCTTGGTATCGTAGACTTCCAAATTGAGGTGTTTCTAAGACACAGATGTGGAATGATTAAAGCTTGAAAAACCGCCATCAACAGTTACATGGACCATACTTATCGTGAGAATATTTTGCTTTCTTCTGAGGATGGATGGGGGGGGGGACAAAGGGGTGAACAATTATGCCTTACTGCACCAATTTTGGGCGCGATCCGTCGATATGATGTCATTCTCGTCCAAATGAGAGTCTTACTGTAATTAGATTTAACGTGAAGTATTCTGTGTTCGCTGGTGTTGGCTAAAGTAGCGTTATAGCTTGTAGCAAAGTGCACTGCAAAACAGTCAGGGCCTACAGGTCAGGCAACGTTTCCAAATTTGACTATAAAATTTGAGGAAAACCTACGTCAACAAAACACCAATGTACTGACCAATATCGCCCGAGTTCAAGCATTTCACAATACGAATCTGCAGAGAGGCAGAACCAGATCCGAAACAGATGTCTCCGCTAATTCGCGACTCACTTTATCTTCAAAATTAACGCGAACCTACAGAGTTTAAATTCAAGAGGACATACTGCCTTGACTTAAAGTTTCTTTCTTTGAAACAGAATGGTAACAGAGATTTGAAAAAAAATTGATAAAAACAAAGTGGAAATGATAAGAAGCATAGTGAAATGCTACGAACAAACCTTTCGGTCATGAAGGAGTTTTTTAACCGCAGAACAAAGCCACTGGAATGTTGGCCTTTCTTGAGGTTTCTCTTGCCAACACATAGTCATAATGGAATACCTGAAAAGAAAGTTATGACGCGCATTAGATACTACAATCAAAGCCAATTAAGTTGTTCGTTGGTTCTAAAAGTGCTGTTGGAAAGGACTATATTGTAATCAATAAGAAGAAGCTTATCACAATAAACATGGAAATAAAGATCTTGAGAAAAAATATACGTGGCTGCGTAGCTTCCTGTTTTTTTCTTTGTTTTGGTTTTATATTTTATGGAACATCACTCGAAGTCTAACAAGAGGTCCTTAGAACTGAAAGGAAATATCTAGTTGTATGCAAGAAACTGTGGTCGCGTTGCAAAAGTTTACATAAATAGGTTGATTCAATCATTTCAGCTACTCACAGTTCTTGAGAGATATGAGTTAGCTTAGGCATACGGTATCCTTTCACCAGTAAACCCGCTATTTCTGATTTCGTTCTTCCAGGATAAGGTGATTCACCTGAAAAATATAAAACACGTTAAAGCAAAGCGTCTTATTGGAGCCTCAGGGGAAAAAAGTAAAGAATGATAGAAGGGAAAGCGAAGAGAAAAGACGGAAAGAAAATGAGAAAGAAAGGCAGTAAATACTTCCGTCTGTAGGGAACAACATGACTGTTTTACACCACATTTATTTGTACAGTTGACTAGAGCGCCCGCGTTATTCAAATGTCGAGAAAACGTGACACAATAGCTCGAATGGCGCCCGATTCAAAGTCTAAAAGGAATCAGTTTAGGAATGTTGAGTCAGTTCTAGCAATTCAACCGTCGCAAAGGTGTACATATGAATCGCTGAAAAGACTTTTGTTGGGAAAAGGAGACGCACGTCTGTTCTTTAAAAGGCAAGCCCCTCTTTTGTCGAGTAGTTCATTCTGAACACTGTTCCATGTAGTGAAATCAGTTGTTGACCGAGGTCGTCTAAAATAAAACTAAAATATAGAATTCCGCTTTATAGCTTGGAACTATACAAAATTAGACTCAAACGATATATTTTTTATTTATCTAATTTGTTTTTAAGCTTAATACTTTTAGCCAGATAACGTGCTAATTCTTAACAGGAAGTGCTTTACAGTTGATGAGGAAAATTTCTTGGAACAAACGTCTCTTGGTGTTAGAATCATTTTTCCTTACAAGGGGATTATTTCATTTACTCTTCTTCGTGTGTGTACTAGGTACATATAATAATAATAATAATAATAATAATAATAATAATAATATATCGATTTCTATAGCGCATTTCCATGTAAATGCTCTAATGCGCCTTACAACACTGTGCGAAGGCTTTTCCAGACTGCCGGCGGCAGTTTACAATTAGTAAAGGAGAAAGTTTACATATGCCCCCTCCCCCCATTCCTAGAAAACAGGCCAGACCACATCACAGTAATCTCGTGATGTGGGTTCTTTAACGTCCCCTGCCGAAATTAACTAATTGATAGGTGCAGGAGACGGGACCTCCGGCTTTACGTCCTATCTGAGAAGACGAAGCAATGTGAGTGAAGCGTCTTGCTTAAGGACACAACGTCAAGCCTCAGTCAGGACTCGAATCTAGAGTCCAGCGCACTGACCACTGGTCTACTCACGCCTCACAAATAATAAATGATTTTGTCTAAAGAGATTAACAGTACTGTGGATTACATGAAGAAATGCCGTATTTATGTAGAGAATGTAATGCTTACCGATCGAAAGTTTAAATTTTTGTTGTTGTTAGAGTTTTTGTTTATCTCAAAATTTGTAGTTATAATGATAACAGTAAAAATTATAATGATGAGGTTGATGATGTTGATGATTACGATAATAATAAGAATGATGGCACATGTATGGCAAGAAAAATTAATGTGGATAGGAACTTCAATTATTGGCTTCATGAATTACTTAGGACCCGTATGCTACAGTGTTAGTTGGATAAAATAGAACTTGATTTTTTTTCATTCATGAGAACAGCATGTTTGTGCTGAGCACAAAATGGAATTAATATTATTGTCTTCTTGCTGACCAGTAGAACCAAAGTACAAAGTATTCGAGGCACATACCTATGGTAAACACTTCCCACATCACAATGCCATAAGACCATCTGTGGAAGAAAACCAAAGCAGAAGAATTTTACATTTATTTATGAACTTTACTTGCAGTAGCAACCTCTCAGTGTGAATTTATTGTACCATTGGTTTGACATAGTAATTTCAAGGAAAATCAAGCACAAAAAACTAGAGATATTAATTGATGTATTTTTTCCAGAAGCTTATCATAGACTTTTGGCACAGTTGTCTCTATTTGTATTTCAATTAAAAGAGACTTAGATTGCATTTCTTAAATCTTTTCTTACTAGTAAAATTTGTGTCGTTTACTCTTACAAACGTATCTATATGACTGCATGATTCAGTTTTCCAGTCTCTCAGCTGTGAAGGTTTTTGTTTTAGGAAGAACTAAAACTTTATTGCAAACTAATCATGACCAAGTACAATTTTTAATTTTCCTGACTTCTCTTTGGGGTCTTTCTTTTCTGTTAATTTTTTTTTTGTTATCACAAAAGGGAAAATTAGATATACACATGTGTATGTTTGGACTGTATTATTGAGAGGAATGATGGACTTATGATTCACTTGTGAATAATTTGAAACAACTCACACATCACTCATAGTAGTAGATGTTCCATATAAAAGAGATTCTGGGGGCATCCACTTGATTGGAAGGCGAGCCTTCGTGTAATAAGAGAAGTATATTGTCATTGAACGGATGGTGATTTCAGCTGAGCTACATTTTATTTGCAACCACTAAATAATCATCCTTTATTCTGCAATCCAACAACTGTCTTGAAGCTAATTTTTTTTTTTTTGTTTTGTTTTCTTTTGTACATGTGTTTGTGTGGTTTTTATCTTGTCCTTCTTTTTATGTTTTAATTTATTGTTTTGTACGTTTAGGGCCTGTCTCACATCGATATCCTAACTCACTGTAAAATTGTTAATGTGAATATATGGGACTGATTGGAAGATTTGTGTTGACCTTAAATTCTCATAAGATACTAATTGTGACTTGTAATTTCAATAGCCACTTGGTAGGCAACCCTAACATGCTATAAAACAAACTTACAGCAAGGGTTACTCTTTAGTAACTTGATGATTTGACCATTGAGAAATGAACAAATTAACGAAAAAGCCAAAGAGAATTATCTATTCATACAAAATCTATTTTTTTAGGTTTATTCACAATTACAAACTCAAGATTCACCTTAGCCTTTCTCATGTAGATATCTCCCTCCAAACCACGTGCTAGACCAAAGTCTGAAATCTTGCACACTTTGTTGTCCCCAACTAACACATTGCGAGCTGCTAAATCCCGATGAACAACCTGAAAACATGACAAATTTGTTGAGGCGTTGTCGTTCCACCATGTTTTAACGTTTTTGATTCATGAAAATTCAATGACTTATGGCCTGAAAACCGATTATATTAGACGCTGTTCATTTGCATTAGGCCGAAGGAAGAGTGTAAGCCCAGTGTAACACCAGACGAGGGCGGGTTTGTACAAGTGCCAAGGAGTGTCTGAAGTAAAGTTGTATTTAAGATTATACTGTCTAGATGATAATTTAAATGAAGTGACACCCCGGCATGGGTCCCACAGGTATCAACGAACGCTTTTCATTCTACTAATTTATTCGTGTTTTTCTCGTTGCCATGTTCCCACCAATCACGTAGCTCCTTTTTCTGTCTTTAAAAGCACGCACAACCCACAATTTTCCTATTCGCTCCGACGAAGGGCTAACGCTCGAAACGTCAGCTTTTATAATCGTAACGGTGGCCAATTTACCATTTCAACTTTTTTGATATATTCAAATTACCTTGTACTAAGCAAGAATCACTGAATCTCTATGACAATGTTCTGTGAATGGCACAAAGTTAAGAGGATTCAGCTGGGGTACTCAGTCGACTATTTTAAACTACAGAGTTTTTATAGCTAGTTACATTGAAGTTACCTTCTTTGTTGACAAATAGCTCATGCCATCAGCGATCATCCACGCAAAGGACAAGAGATCCTTTTCTGTAAGTGTCGAGCTTGGCCTTTTTTCTCCTGTGTTATAAGTATCCTCGATCCCTCTGCTCTTGCGCAGGTATCCCAACAAATCGCCATATGGTAAATACTCCACAACTATCATGATAGGGTCTGGAAATAACAAAATGAAATAATCCTTAAATCATTCATTCCTAAATTAATTAGTGAATTGATCAATAAGCCAATGATTTGATTGATCAATCAACCTTAGTACCTTTTTCTGTACAACATCCGATGAGTCTCACAACATGAGGATGAGGTTTTAAAGATTTCATAAGATCCAGTTCAGTTAGCATGTCTTTTAGGTCCTTCTTTGTGGCATCGTCTTCAAGAGGTAAACAAACAAATTAAACACGTTATGTAACGTTTTCAACGCAACAGCAGAAGTTTTAGGATTTGAAATAACTTTGAAATTAATCCAATTATAGAATAGTATTTCAATGGCTGAAACTTGTAAGAAAAAGTGGAAAGTACCTTTCAGTGATTTCACCGCAACCTCAGATCGCAAAGGTCCATAAACTGCTTGGTAAACTTGACCAAAGTTTCCACTCCCGAGAAATCTAACTGTTTTGATCTGATCACGGATAAGTCGGAAGCCATCCACGTTTTCACTATCGGCCACAGTCCACATTGCCACATCTGGAAATGACATGATTCGTGATCGTAAGAAACCAAAAGACATTTATTTTACGAGAGGAATTTTCTTTCGGATATCTTTTTTTTCTATTTTCTATTTTGAATTTTGAAATGGTGTTGAGCAGTTTAACGAGTAACATTTAGATAGAGATTTCGTACATTTCATCCTTCCCAATTGTTTGATAAGCTATCGTTAAGAAGCCTCTCATATGTGCCATGAGATCAGGGCGATTTTCTGATATCTCAGAGGAGAATAACCAATGAAATAATGACAAAACGTGAAAGATGGTAAATGATGGAGACTTACTATCGTACGCACTCGTGAGGGATTCTGCAGTTTCGAGCTCTACCCCCAGGGTGCCTGTAGATTCTGCTCTTTGAACCTCTTCTCCCATGATGCCAGTAGACTCAGCTGTTTTGGGTTCCTCAAGACGGTCTCTATTTCTTTGGTGTCGATATCTACTTCGCAAGAAGAAGTAATTGTACGTTCAAAGTTCAATACAGTCACAGTCACATCTAAATGCTCATAATACGGATCAAAAAAATGACGGTTGGCGTGTTTTTAAAAGGGTTAGCTCACAGTATCTCTTAATAGGTAGGTATGTTTCTTGTTAATTCTGAGCTGCAACCAACAACCAGCACCGAATGTATATTTAGTTTTTAAAACAATGTACATATCTTGAGAAGCGATGAGAGATATACGAGATTATATCACAAATCAATATGAAGTATACCTTATCCAGCATTGGACATCCAGACCTCTCTTCGCCATGACTGAGTTTTGGTAAAATGTTTGGCACAATTTCAAGTCATTTGTTGTCAAGCAGTCGTTAATCAGAAGAGTTGCCCGGAGCTGAAATCAGCTACGAGAATCGTTTGCGTTTTTTTTTTTTTTTACAATTAGAGTTTGCTAACCTTCTGTAAATGATAAAACATGCAGAGCCAAGTATGGAAAGTACCAATAAGACAGCTAATCCATATATGATGTTCAGATATACTACAGCCCTCGATTCTGTGGATTGAAAAGCGCACAATAGATTAAGTACATATATGTATGATTTCGCTAAGGAATTACCCCTGTACACCTTACATTAGTATGCATATGTTCCATACTTTTCCCATGCATTTCTTAACACACTCTCCTTGTCAGCACATGAGTGAGAGTGTGTAACAATCAAGAGCCTCTTTCCTTGATGATCATTTCCTCTATTCTCGTGACCTTAAAGGTGAGTACGATCTATTAAGGTGATATTGTAAGGATAAAAAAGATCCTAGTCACTGCTAGGGTCAAATGGTTAACAGTAAAATAAATTAAGAAAAATGTTACATTTTTAAATTTTTTATGTACTGTCATTATATCAATGGCTTCACCATTGAATGACTGGAATTTTTCACTCGTTTTCGCCGAATGTGATAATTGACATTTTGATTGTTAAACGTTCCCGTATCAAAGAAGTAAACTTTTTGAGGATAACATGGGAGGACCATAACTGTTATTTGTGTGTAACAATAGTGGCCCAACCAATTATTGTCCTTCGAGGAATGATAGTGTATCGAACCACAGTCAACCGTTCTGAAACGTAAACAAAGTCTCCCTAGACTGTCTGTGTCAGCTTAGGCCGGTTAAAAAAAAAGAGACAAAAACAAAAAAAAAAGCACTCTCGAAAGAAGTGAGAATGAGATAACCTTGAAATGTGGAGACAACAGTTATGTTCACGCCAATTGTTGTCACGGTTAATTCTTGTACTGTCGAGGAAAGCCTCTTTCCATCTGTTATTCGCTTGCCATTTTGTATCTAAAGCAGTCACTCACCTTCCGTTTTTAGGCCTTTCGTAGATGGAGCTGCAAAAGGGACGAAAATCGGAAAAATTTCAGCTTGTAAGAGATTCTGTTTCGTGAAAAATTGACGCAGTTTCTTCGGTATACAAATTCACGCTTGTTGCAAATGTTTATGGTGCACCTCTCATTGCTTTGATCTTAAATTAATCACTTGATTACATGTTAGCTTAGCAACCACGGTAAGCATTATGTTGAGTTATTATGATAACGATCGCCATTGTTATTGAAAATCCCACAACCTTAAAACGAGGTGCACAACATTTTGACCACTGTGATGACGAATATCGTTGTCGGTAAGACTACAGGCCACGCTAAACCACTGTCGATTTTTCATTCCCATGTTGCGATGGATTTAGTTGTCCTTCTTATTGGTTAAGGAGGTTTAGGAAAAATTTCAAAGAATTTTAGAGCTTTAAAAAGTGTAGCGAAATCAAGAAATTGAAGATCACTTTTGACAACGGTACTTTACATGTCTTGTTAAACTTTTTTTGATACACATTGATAAACGTATCACTACACCATGGCTAGGAAAGCAATGAAAAGGTCTAAGCGAACGATATTGCTTTGTAACTGTAAAAATATTGTTTGAAATTGTTTAACACTCTTTCCTAGCTTCTCGAGATAGGGGGCCGGTTCAATTCTAGTTTTGTTTTGTGTAAACTGGGCAGACTCCGTTACTCACCGGAATCTTTCATCCTTAAGTTAACTGCCTCGAAGTTTCCTTCGACTCCATATCTTCTTGTCGCCACCTCGCTCACCCTGTTCTTGGAGTAGATTCTAAGAGTGTAATTTACTTTCGACGAAAGACCCTCAAGAGCCACGTGGGACACTTCCAGGCCTTTATTTTTTGGTCTGTAAGTGACGTCACTTCCGCAAGGCTCATATAAACAGGCAGTATTGATGCATACTTTACGTATCAAACACTCGACGTCATAAGACACAAGACTTTGATCACCGGTATCCGCAGGCGGCAACCATGTTATCTCTACGACACTTTGGTTAACAAAGGCAACCCTGATATTCCTTGGAGCTGATGGAATACCTGTAAACAGAAAATTATTAGGGCGGAAATAGTAATATTTTGGTTGAAAAGTCGTCAATTTAAAACGAAATTGCCAAGTAACCAAGACAACCCATCAAAGTAGTTCTTATATTTCTTACTTGTGCAGTTGAAACCTTTTTCGTCGTTATACTTTCCATTGGGACAAGCTAAAAAGAGAAGAACGTTTTCCTCGGGTCAGAGGTTAGTTTAAGAGAGATGTATGAATTAAAAGGACAATAAAACGATGTTTTAATATGATTTCTAAACTAGGAATCTATAGTAAAATGAGAGGAAAACCCAGGATGATATACAATGTGTCTATCAACTCTAATAACCTGGTCAGCGAAAACAACAGCATCAACAACAATTGCAATAGTAGCGTTATTCAAATTAAAATGAGATGCAACCATGGGTAGCCCTCGGCTAGTGGAGACGTTTTAGGAAGTCACTCAACCTAAATAGGACATATCAGGACGTTATTGAATAAAACTGAATTTATGACGAGGCCAGAAAGGCCAGAGAATAGGTATGCATGGATAACATGGATACGGGTGGGAAATAACAAGTATCGAAAGTAACTGCTTTGGGTGTAGTTGACTTTGCTCTGTAATTGTTTCAGAATACTCGCGCAATCCTCTCAACCGATCAGATGCAAAACTAAAAGCAATCGCACAGTTCTCTTGGATTCACTTTGAGTTCTCATTGGCCAACGATAATGCAAACCTTTGCTTTGATTGGTTGTTTTTTTGTTTGGTTTGGTTTTGGTTGTTCGACACGAAATTGAATAATGCTCTCTAACAGCCTTACCTTGGCATTTTCCTTCGACATTTTCCAAGTCTTCCTTACAAATGCATCTCCCTTCTACCGACGTTTTGTTCCATTGTCCACTACTATTGCAGTAGGCGTTCAGACTGCCAGACAAATGAACCGCATTTTCTTTACATCTTCTCTCAACACGTGAGATGTCCAACACATTCACTGGTGCTGCTGTTCTGGGTAACACCAGCAACTTGTCGCTAAACGTCTTTTCAGGGCAAAAGTTGTAACTAACCTTGACAGAGTACAAGATGCTACACGCTCCATTATTATGGAATGCTAAGAAGATAAATTTTCCTTTTACGGCTACTGATATTGTTTTGGAAATTTCCACATTGGTAGGGTCTCCCAGTTCTGCTATTTTTTCATATGCAGTTGTGTGTGATAGAGGGTTTGGGTAATTTGACTTGTCTAGGATATCCTGGTTTGACTGGTTGACGTACAAGTCAATGGCATTCACGCATTTATCTTCTCCATTCTCCCCCAAGAAAGAGCAATCTATGATGAGATATCGAACAGTTACATCTAGCCTTTTAGCTTCGTTAACCGCGATCTTGTCACTTCTCAGCCAACTGTTTGGTCTCGATGTGGATGCGTTCAAGTTATTGATGCACGATAAATATCGAGGAGAGGAGTGTTTTTCGTACCACTGCGATTAAAAAACGTTGATACATTGTTAAGCAAAGACATAAATTAACCATTGCACAAAAATTATAGAAATGATATCATAACCGCCAAATAAATAAATACATAAATAAATAATTAAATAGGAAAGAAATAGAATAATGAAAACTGGTTAGGTAAGTGGACTAGTAAATGAATGAGTGAATGAATTTGGAAAGTATTGAATACGGGAGCACAGTGACAATGTCAAGTCTGTTAAGGGGTGAAAACATTAAAAGGGAGGTTAAGCAGATGTTTACGGAAAACGGCGAGCGGCAAAATCGAGCTTTCGCTTTCTGCTTTCAGTCGCAGTTAACTTAAGTTGAATTATTTGCTTAACTTTGAAGAAGAGCTTTCTTGCAATTTTTTTTTTTAATTTTATTGAAGGATTCTGATGAGAAAGACGAAAATCAAATTTTACGGGTGCTAATGCCGTAAACACTATGCTGAAACTAATAGTTAATGCCACAAGTAAATACCTATTGTCTGATAAAACGGGAATGCGTTTTTTTACCTAGAAAAGTGTTAGTAATATATTTTGATCTCTCCTCGTAATGATGGTGTTCAGTGTCACACATCATTCTCTAAAACCATTCTATGGTTGAAGTCTATAGATAATTAAGGTATTGATAATACTAACCCCTGTGTATCCAGGCACAGCAGTCTGTAAAATCGTCCAATTCCATGAACATGAATCGCACTCAGGCTTGTCTATCAGAACTCCTTGGTCTGACGAGGCTAAGGCAATGAGTATAAGGATGGCAAGGAAATGGCTCCACAAATGATCCATAGGCCGTACTAAAGCTGAAAATAAATGAATAACCATTATTGATCAGTGTACAACTGAGAGCAGCTTGGAACTGAAAGGACCGATACAAGGACAGGTCAGAATATATCGTACTTCAAAAAACCGAGTTAGCTATTCGTTTTTGTCATTTCATGACGCGAATATTTGGAAGATGCTAGTTATCGCATGAAAAATAAAGAATTGAGGAGGAAATTAAGGCTCCCTACTTAAAGCTGTCATCTTCATCTGCAAGGAGACACAGCACGGACATCAACCGTGTTACCGCAAAGTTTTGGCGTATTTTTGATGGGTTATGCGTTCAATATTACGTTAGCTTGATATTAACGCCTCCTGAAACCTAACAACGTCACCTTTCAGTATTGCGACAAGAAAAACCCACTAAGTTGAGTTCACCTTTCCCGTTCATAGCGAACAACTTCCGTTGATATTGATTTGCGGGAAGGACGTCTGGTTTCGAGAAAGATAACTGTGACGTGATTAGTAAGGCCACTGAAGCATTTTATACAATCAAACACAGTCAGCAAATTTCTTTTAACCATATTTGGAGTTGTGTTCTATGGAAATGTGACTTAAGGAAATGTTTATCCATCATGTGCTCTCGTTATTCAAGTGTTTTTGTATAATTTTGTTTGCCCTGTTTTTGGCCACTCAAAAAAAGTCAACTACAGTAATGACCTTGCAATTAGGTTTTGAAAGTAATCAGATTAGTAATCTGCATTCGTGTTGCGTTTTCGTTGTCAGTTATATTTGCAAAGACGTTTTCCGCCGATGGTCCATAATATACAAATTTTGTTGGTTAATTGCTTTATTTATTCGTACGTTCATGACCGCAATTTACCGTAAGCACTGGGCATGCTTATTAAGGAAGGAGACCGTACTTCACCTTTGTCGTTACGAAGTTGTGTTGAAAATTATATGATCAACAAATGAAGCCGGATCATGAAAAAGTTACGCATCGAGATTACTTTAACTGAAGTTTTGTAAAATGATTTTCAAGAGTGTCAAATTAAGACTAAAAGCAATTTAAGCAAGGTCAATTCGATCAAAATTTCGAAACTTCTAGGCGAAAATTAGAAAGGTCGTTTTGAAATGTTTCAACAACAGGGCATGCTTGCATCAATATCGGGGTTAAATTCTTATCTGTTAGTATTACACATGAGATAGCTTGTTTGTCAATAATCATTATTGTTCTCACGTACCTGCTGGAACAAGTTCTTAGCCGGTGAAGTCGTTTTACACGTCCTTCTTGGTGCTTAAGAAATGCTTTAAGTGTGATAGAACGATCGCAGACAGCCTGAATAGATGTTTTATAACGGGTAAAACGTGAATAACAATCTTAGATTATTAATCTTACATGTACGTATATTTGAACAGGTCATACGCCTGAAAGACGCCGACAGTCGGCGGTAGATGTTTTGAGGGAATAACGGCACAAAATGTTGACTCTTCGGCTGTCAACAACACAGATGGACGTGATCCTCGAGTCAAACTTTTTCGATCAGGACACCACCTTAGGTTACACGAACCAAACTATTTGAAATTTTATTTGCAAACATTTTGGCCGAAATTGGATTTCTAAGATCACATAATCTAAAATCAATTTTCAATTTAGTGGAGCAAGTGAATTTTATCGACTCAGGTGTTCAAAGTGTATTTAGAAAATAATGAAATCGTACATCTGGGCGTTGTCCACGCTCTGCTGAAACGAGTCTAATCTCACTTTAAAGAAGAGAGCGACAAAGTTCTTCAAACTCTACATGCAATTTTATTTAAAATGGCAAGAATATAGTTTGAACATGTTGAAACTACATCGATGATTTACTTTGCGATATAGTGCAATCTTTCAAGACTACAATATTCGAGTAAAAATTTACTAGAGATAACACGCACCTTGATAGTGCATACTTAAAAGTATTTGAGCTCAAACGTACGCGTACATTTACCCCCGAAGTCACTGACGTTACTTCTTCTACTAATTTTTTTCAATGGAATACAGGAGATGACGTATAATTTAAAAATGAAACCCAGTGTTTTAAACTGGCATGTAGTTTTTATCCTCACTATAGAAAAGCATATCAGAAACCCATGACTCTGACTTCATTATGAGGTAACCTAAGCTTCTGAGCATTTTCTTCAAATGAACTTAAATTCTTATTTATTCCCTTTGTAAGAGCGTGCTACGCTTACGCATGACGTAAAATAAAGAAGCCAAAACAATTCAGTTTTAGAAAATCATAGTAACAAAAAAAAAAAAAACAAAAATCATGTAAACCTCGGCCATTTTGAATCGCACTAAGTACCCTCCTACTGGGCATTCTAAATTAGACATGATTATTATTATTTTTATTATTTTATTATTTATTATTATTATTTTTTGTGATGACCAGTGCAGGAGTAGTTTGCTTATAGTGAACTCATTACTTTCATTGGAACCCTGGGAAGTCATTCATGTGCGACTGATTGTTTTAAAATTGGCGGGTTTTATCATGACTTGAATTTTCGACTCTTATGAAGATGGTTTTTGGTACAATTTGGTTACTTTCGTCAATTTCAAAACGCGAGTGGAAGTAAATTGAAGCTTACACTTTACAATGGCGGAGGTGGAAATGAAAAAGATCGATTAATCATTTTATTCCGCTTTAGAAAATTCCGTTGTTTAAACGGATCAGATGCACCGCTGAACAGTTTCTGGATAATTTCCGCCTTGAAAGCTAATGAGTGACCTTTAATTACTCGATTAACTAATATGGAAAATAAAATACAGTACAATATGGAATGTGGAATACAGTACAACATGGAATATGGAATACAGTATCGTTGTCGGTATTTTACCTTATCTTATTTGGAACAGAGAGGATGAAACTTTGAATTTACTTTAACCTGTGTCANGATTTTTTTCAGGTCTGATTTTCGCTATTGCTTAAATAGCGCTATCTACTGCGAGGATCGTGCATCATACGTATCTAATACCGCAGTTCAAAATATATGAACTTCATATATTTCATTGTATCTGATTTATCACTTTCACGGGTTTATTACGAATCAACTTAACGGCCTGCTCCCAGTTGGCTTGTTAGCTCAATTGGTAGAGCGCTGCACTAGTATCGCAGAGGTCAGTGGTTCGAATCCCGTACAGGCCTGATTTTTTTCAGGTCTGATTTTCGCTATTGCTTAAATAGCGCTATCTACTGCGAGGATCGTGCATCATACGTATCTAATACCGCAGTTCAAAATATATGAACTTCATATATTTCATTGTATCTGATTTATCACTTTCACGGGTTTATTACGAATCAACTTAACGGCCTGCTCCCAGTTGGCTTGTTAGCTCAATTGGTAGAGCGCTGCACTAGTATCGCAGAGGTCAGTGGTTCGAATCCCGTACAGGCCTGATTTTTTTCAGGTCTGATTTTCGCTATTGCTTAAATAGCGCTATCTACTGCGAGGATCGTGCATCATACGTATCTAATACCGCAGTTCAAAATATATGAACTTCATATATTTCATTGTATCTGATTTATCACTTTCACGGGTTTATTACGAATCAACTTAACGGCCTGCTCCCAGTTGGCTTGTTAGCTCAATTGGTAGAGCGCTGCACTAGTATCGCAGAGGTCAGTGGTTCGAATCCCGTACAGGCCTGATTTTTTTCAGGTCTGATTTTCGCTATTGCTTAAATAGCGCTATCTACTGCGAGGATCGTGCATCATACGTATCTAATACCGCAGTTCAAAATATATGAACTTCATATATTTCATTGTATCTGATTTATCACTTTCACGGGTTTATTACGAATCAACTTAACGGCCTGCTCCCAGTTGGCTTGTTAGCTCAATTGGTAGAGCGCTGCACTAGTATCGCAGAGGTCAGTGGTTCGAATCCCGTACAGGCCTGATTTTTTTCAGGTCTGATTTTCGCTATTGCTTAAATAGCGCTATCTACTGCGAGGATCGTGCATCATACGTATCTAATACCGCAGTTCAAAATATATGAACTTCATATATTTCATTGTATCTGATTTATCACTTTCACGGGTTTATTACGAATCAACTTAACGGCCTGCTCCCAGTTGGCTTGTTAGCTCAATTGGTAGAGCGCTGCACTAGTATCGCAGAGGTCAGTGGTTCGAATCCCGTACAGGCCTGATTTTTTTCAGGTCTGATTTTCGCTATTGCTTAAATAGCGCTATCTACTGCGAGGATCGTGCATCATACGTATCTAATACCGCAGTTCAAAATATATGAACTTCATATATTTCATTGTATCTGATTTATCACTTTCACGGGTTTATTACGAATCAACTTAACGGCCTGCTCCCAGTTGGCTTGTTAGCTCAATTGGTAGAGCGCTGCACTAGTATCGCAGAGGTCAGTGGTTCGAATCCCGTACAGGCCTGATTTTTTTCAGGTCTGATTTTCGCTATTGCTTAAATAGCGCTATCTACTGCGAGGATCGTGCATCATACGTATCTAATACCGCAGTTCAAAATATATGAACTTCATATATTTCATTGTATCTGATTTATCACTTTCACGGGTTTATTACGAATCAACTTAACGGCCTGCTCCCAGTTGGCTTGTTAGCTCAATTGGTAGAGCGCTGCACTAGTATCGCAGAGGTCAGTGGTTCGAATCCCGTACAGGCCTGATTTTTTTCAGGTCTGATTTTCGCTATTGCTTAAATAGCGCTATCTACTGCGAGGATCGTGCATCATACGTATCTAATACCGCAGTTCAAAATATATGAACTTCATATATTTCATTGTATTTGATTTATCACTTTCACGGGTTTATTACGAATCAACTGAACGGCCTGCTCCCAGTTGGCTTGTTAGCTCAATTGGTAAGAGCGCTGCACTAGTATCGCAGAGGTCAGTGGTTCGAATCCCGTACAGGCCTGACTTTTTTTAGGTCTGATTTTCGCTATTGCTTAAATAGCGCTATCTACTGCGAGGATCGTGCATCATACGTATGAATGGATTTTATTGTCCCCCTTGTAATTTAGTGTTTGACACTACCAAAGGGTTAAATAAACTGATTATTTTTAATATTATTATTATTATTATGTATAAAAGTTTTTTTTCAAACTAATCTACGACACCATTCCTAGCGTTTATTTTTAGTCCCCAGTCCATCGATTAGGTCTAGTTTCTTATTGAAAAGTTCTACCTTTTCAACGACTGTTATCTAACATGTTTCTTTTCCCAAAACGCATCTAGTTTAGCTTACGATGAACATAGCAGCACAAGGATTCAGTGTTGAAATTTTTCGAGGAGCGATATGTGGATTTGAGAAATGGTCATTGAAAGAGACGAAATTATGTGGGCCATCGAAAGTTTTCTCCACATTATAAAGGTGAACTCCTGAAACGAGTTCTCTGAGATAAGAATATCCAAACATACAGAACTTTGTGATTGATAGGTATGACGTTTTATTACTACTGTTTTCGTTTCTTTTCCGAAATACCTTAATCATGCCCGTTCTGCATGACTAACACTCCCACACTTTATGTCTCAAGACTACCGTAATCCAGTGGTTTTGATCTTCGACTTTAAAGTTAAAAGAATACTGAGCAAAATATATTAAGTTACGCGTTTCTTGTTTTCTTTTTTGCTTGTTTGTTTGTTTGTTTTTATAAATGAAAAAAAAGTAGTACCTAGCATAATGCTAAACAAAAACATATCAAAAAATGAGGAAATGTTTAAGGAACACCAACTGACAAACCTTGTGATCATCCAGAAGTCGCCTAATCACACAGCAAAGCCATTGAAATGTTGGTCTCTCCTCTGGTTTCTCTTCCCAGCAATTGGCCATTATGGAATACCTCAAATGAGAATCAAAAGTACGCTTTTCTTAAAAAATTCTCATTCCAAGCGAATTTACTGTTTATTTTAATAGTGAACTCATTGGTAATGGAAAATGTAACTTTTATATCTGTGTCATTTCTCGAATGTCTGATGTTAAGAGGGTGAGACAAAAGAGCTGTTAAACCACTTACAGTTCTTGTGAGATGTGAGGTGGCTTAGGCATGCGGTATCCTGTCTGCAGTAAGTCAGCTATTTCTCCAGATTTTACTCCGGGATATGGTGATTCACCTGCAAATAATACATGGCACTGCTAAAAACAAAGACTGGTTATGGAAGTGCTCTCATATTTAAAACATACTCTAATAGGCCCCAATACGGGCCTATAATACAATAATATATAATAATACGGGCCAATAAGGGCGTCCATCTTTGAATTGGAAAACTCACGCTCCCGTTATACCGAAAGGGAAGCAAATGGGTCGGTCTTTCTATAGCTATCTTCCTTTAATATATTTATATTGGATCGAAGTTTGTCTCATTTCTGTTTTGTCGCAGTTATCGAACAAAACACCATATCAATGTTTCAACCCTTTAATGCTTTGGCTAAGTATGAAATTTTGTGCGAACTATGTTTTCATTGTAAATTTTGGAAGTCAGGCTCATAAAAAGAAGATTTGATTCTGACGCGGCAACTAATTCCCTTTTTTAATTTTTGTTTAAAGGAAAATCGTATGGTTTATTTTAATGGGAAATTACCACCGGTTTTTTCATATTAAAGGAAAACTCCTCTGGTTTCTGCATGATCGTCTGGACTGTTACCTAACTTAAGTTACTTAACTTGTAAAACACAAAACTTCACTGCACATAAAAAATAGCACAGATTCTATCGAGACCTTCCGCGGGTGATCAGGCTCCATAGCACGTACTAACCCGGCGATCTTCGTTTCTTCTCATAGTTAGTTAAATCCTTTCAGGCCATCCAGACAATTATATATGAAGCCACTGAGGAGATGGTATCTTGATCGTGTTAAAAGGGCTTAGGACAGGTCGATTATATAGGACCCCTGGTCAACTAGTACTTTTGTTTCTGTATTATGAGTGGTGATACAGAGTATCAATGTGCAAAATATGCCAGATAATCAGTGTTTCATTTCGGTGATTACAAGAACATGTAACGATTTAATATTTTGTGAAAGCAAGAAAGGAGAAAGTTTCTAGTTGTTTATTAACTGTGTTTGAAAGTTCTCCAAAATAATGTACATACCAATGGTAAACACCTCCCACATCACAATACCGTAAGACCATCTGTAGATGACAGACGAAAGAAAAAATTTTACTTTATGAGCTTTTTTGACATTATTATGACTCTGCTAATAATATGTACACTTGCAATATTTGAATTTTGATTGGCGGAAAATGATATATTTTTCGTAATCGCTAGGATAGTTTTGGTAATCGAACGTATTATTACATGTACTTGATCCCTTGATCCAATCAGCGGTGCAGTGCATAGGTTTCCCGCTTGAGACGGGTTTCAAGGTGGAGAAACAACACTTCTGACTTTGATCAGAATGTTATCACTTCAAAAAATCTATAAAGACTGTGGTACTTCGGTTAATCTGAAAGAACCATGAGTATGAAGGTTACAGGGATGACTTAAAGTGCATATGACACGAAATTTTTTCTCTTGTTTCTTGTAGTTGGATATCTACAGAAAACGTTTCGAAGCCTTAAAAGTGCTGGAAAAGTCTAAAAAGCATTGTTTTTGCTTTCAAAATACGCGCAATTTGCCTTCAAACTTGTCCCGGTCATCGCGCGGCCAAAACCACACGTGACGTCACATTGTGTACCCAGATTCTTCAAAGTCAATGGAACTTTCAGAAGAGTCGGACTCAAAGGAATCATTGGAATCACTGGACGTCTTTGCCTTTCAATGCACTATCTATCTACTACGAAGTACTGCAGAATCCTCTTAGCGACAACAGACCTTCGCGGCAAAGGTACAAAATGTGACGTCATGAATAACTTCTACGGCAATAAACTAGGTCCCAGTCTCCGGGACAAATTTGAAGGCAAATTGCGCGTATTTTGAAAGCAAAAAAAAAAAAATGCTTTTTACATTTTTCCAGGTCTTTTAAAGCTTCGAAACGTTTTCTATAGATATCCAACTACAAGAAACAAGAGAAAAAATTTCGTCTGATATGCACTTTAAGTAAATAAGCGGGGCAATTTGAAAAATATTTTCACTTGGAAAATAAATGTGACAATTTGCAACTTTTTCTCACGTCGGGTTGTTCTCACATTTGGTTTTGTTTTGTTTTGTTATGTTTTTTTAAATAATTGAAAAAGGAATGGAAGGATAAATGAAAATAGCCTACATGTCGCTCTTTGTGGAAGATTCGCCATAGAGTAGAGACTCTGGGGGCATCCACCTGGCTGGAAGACGAGCCTTGAAAAGAATAATCAAATGAATATCGTATAAAGTTCAAATGAAAAGAAAACTTCTAGTATTATTGTACGAACCGTGTAACGAACAGTCATGTTGCGAATTATTTAGTCACGAGGTAACTGTTTTTGCTTGCACAAGACGTCATTGTGTTTTACACGGTTTTTCACTGTATCAAGTTACAAAGTAAATAAAATTGAAGTGTTTAATCAGAATAACGAGTGTTGTTGGGTTTACAATGATTACAGATGGCTTTTTCGACAGTTATTAAATGAACAAGCGAGTAGATAGCGAATGTTGGTGAAAAGCTTTCCAGTTATATTGAGATCGTTTCGGGTTCATGTTGTAGACACCTCTGTTTTCCTTGTGTACACATCTTCCCTCAAACCTCGAGCTAAACCAAAGTCTGATATCTTGCACACTTTGTTGTCCCCAACTAACACATTGCGAGCTGATAAATCACGATGAACAATCTGAAACACAGCACAACACAAACTTGGTACCTAGAGATGTTTTAAGATAAGGCCAACTGACTATTCCTTTTTCATCGTAATATCACTTTGTTAGGGTAGGTACCGAAATAATCTTGAAATTTGAGGAGCGGCTTAATTCACTGAGTAAGTAGTAAGTAGTAAGTAGTAAGTAAGTGAGACTTTATTTGATGAGAGTAACATTTGACACTAATAAAACTGATAACCTAATGGCCCTCAAAAAAAAAAAAAACTTATAGCAATAGTTGTAACAATATTAATAGTAATTAAAATGGTATTTAAGCCTTTGTACATCGCAAACTATGGTTATAAAATATGGTTATATACAGATTTTAAAATTTACATGAATAACTGCGTAAGAATTTGATTATTTAAAATTACTTTAAAAAGGGAACGCTCAAAGTTTTTGACACTAGTACTCCGTTTGAGTACAGTGGGAATGACCGACCAAGAAATGATTCGAACCATTCCTCATAGAATGGTACAACAGAGGTGCATTGTAAAGGTTTGAGAATTTGGATGCCTTAAGGGAACATAAATAGTAGGGTTTACCTTCATTCTTGACAAATAGCTCATACCATCAGCGATCATCCATACAAAACGCAACAGATCCTCTTTTGTAAGTGACGAGCTTGGTTTCTTTTCTCTTGTGTTCTTAATATCCTCGATCCCTCTGCTCTTGAGCAGGTATCCCAACAAATCCCCGTATGGTAAATACTCCAACACTATGAGAAGTGGATCTAGAACGATGTAACGGTGCTGAATAAGTCAGTTTAGTGAGTTAGACACTCAATGCATTGGGGATTAGTCAGTGATCAAGAAATTAGCCAACGGAAATCAAACAAAATGTCCAGTACCTTTTTCAATACAATAGCCAATGAGTTCAACAACATGGGGATGAGGCTTCAAGGTTTTCATGAGATCTAATTCTGTCAGCATGTCTTGTAGGTCTTTCTTTTTGGCGTTGACTAGAACATTAGTGAAGATTAAAACGACGTCAGTTACAATGAATTAAAAAAAAAAGCATTTCACATCCATTATCTATATGGCTAAATGGTTCTCAACGAGAAATAAATAAATGGGTAGATAAGATAAGAAAGTAATTTTCCGGGTAGTGAGAAGTAAAAATTATATTTGTCTTTAATAAGGAAGTATATATATCTTATTAACCAAGCGCGAGGGCCGTACTGGGAGAATATCGGCCCGAGGTCTTGACAGTACGGACCCGGCGAGCGCAGCGAGGTCCGTACAAAAAAGACCGAGGGCCGATATTCTTCCAGTACGGTCCCGAGCAAGCTTGGTTAATAA